CAAAACCCATTTTCTTAAGTTAAAGGGGAGGACGTCTTTGCTCAAATTGGTATTAAGTGATTGCTTCATATAAAAAAAAAATTATTTACCTTTACACAAAATAGTTTTAGTATGAAAATTTCATCTTTTTAGTGACCTGGAGGCCGCGATGACACAAAAGCTAGCAGGTCTGCCTGTCTGCTCAGTGGCCATCAGGTTCAACCCCCTCGATTTAAAAAAAAAAAAAAAACACTGGCCAAGGCTCCAAATTTCTTCTGCTCCTTCTTCTCTTCCCCTAGTTTCTTAGGGTAGAGTTTTTGAGAATTATATATAACAACAGGTTTATTTTTAACGAAATTTTAAAGTGTCAACAGCTCTTTCTGTGCTTGTTTTTTTACATTTTCATTTTATGAGACCTCCCTGGTCATTTGTTGGTTTATATTTGTTGATACTTTAGTCATAGCAGTCCACTGTATTCAAAGTGGATAGTTGACAGCATAACTTCTTGAAGTGAGTTAAGAACTGGCAAAAAGGACATTTCCATAAGCGCTCCATCCTCATTTTCAGCAGCCATCACAGAGTTCCAGTTCTGGTGTACCTGTGGTAGTCTGATTGGACATCTTGCTAGCCTCTCTCCTGAGTGTTGAGCATTGGCTCGATCCCCTGGTCACTCCCCGCTGCTCCTCTCTATTCAGAACTTGATCTATTTGTTCACTGGCTCCAAAAAAGCCCTGACAACATCTAGCTTGTCACACACCAGCTTACTATCAAGTGGTGCAGAACCAGCTGATTTATCTTCCTGTTTGTTTCTCAACCCAGCTGCATATCCTGGAGAAAACATCCAACGGACCCTAACTACCCAGGACTTCTAAAGTGTCGCTCCAGCTTTCTGACACATACAATGAGCCAGTTACAATTACAACATGAGTGTGCAGCTGATTCTCAAGCCAGCAGAAGGCTGCAGTGACTGACTCCACCTCCATTCTCAAACTAGAAGCTCAGGTATTATTATATGCCAGGCTTTTTGTACTAAGCGATGTCCATTCACTTTTGCTATGAACCCACATGCATTTCTGCGTCTCAACACAGACCCAACTGTACAAATAATCACATAACTACATGATCATAATTTTAACAACAACAAAATGCACAAATATATCAAAACATGTGCACAAAGATTAGATTTTTTATCCAATAACTTGTAGAGACAACAGAAGCTGGACTGGACCTCTGGAGCCAGCAGGCATCGCTCACCTAGGAATCTGAAGGTCACTGGTTCACATCTGCATTTAGCAGGATTTTTTCAAACATGACCTTGACTGCCAAGTCAACCCAGCCTTTAATGGGTACCAGGTAAATTCCTGGGAAATAAAAATCTTATTTGTAATTAACATTTACTTGAACAGCCTCCAACAGCAGCCTCTCAGCATCAGTGAGACATGCAGTTTTCTTTACATAACAATTACCTGAGCAGATCTGAACACCATCCTCACACTGACAGCTGCAATAACTGAAGCAAGCACATCATCAGCATGTTGTGCTTTATGTATGCCGTCTATAACTTGAATAATGAGACAGATTTTATCATGACAAAAATACCGTCCATGAAGTAAAGAATGCCAACCAAACAAGCAACATTCATTTATGATCTGGCAAAACTGCAAAGCTGTTTTTTTTAGCAGGTGAGAGGTGCGTGGTTAAGTATGCACCGTGGAGCAAAGAGCAAACAGATTATATTTTAAACTTGCACAAAACACTTTGGGACAGTTGAACTGATAACAGTTTATGGTAATCCCACCAGTTCACAATCGGTCAGCAGACAACAAGTAACTCTCCATTTTGTTTAGCTGATGAGAGGTACATGATTAACTATGCATCATAGGGCAAAAAGTAAACATTAAATTCTGCTCCAAACTTGGAACAAATGCTAATGAGACAGTTGAATTAACAATGGGAACCAATGTTTATCTCGTGCACAGACATTCAGGTGGCATTCACAATCCCAGACTGGTGTGGAGATGACTGATGATGAAGTTAGGTCAGGACGCCCAATATCTGGACACAATGAGGAACTCAATGCCAAAATCAGAGAGTGAATAAACAAAGATCGATTTCTGACAGTGAGAATGGTGGCAGATAAATTTGATGTTAACTGTTTAATTTTAGTGGAGCATTTGGCCAAGAAGAACAGAGGATTCACCCACACTTGACTAAAGGTACATTTGTAACCATTATGTCGTGGCCTAATATAACCGTGCTGTAAGGCTTAATGGTTGAAAAGCATTTCCGTGATGCAAATCTGCAGAGGACAAACTATTTAACAAAAACAAAAACCAAAGACATTCATGTGTTGAGTATGCAAAAGTGATCTATGGCAATGAGTTTCTAATTACAAACATAAATTAGTTGTTTGAAGATGAAGTTAGGCCTGGACACCGTAAAGTATTTGCAACCAACTTTAAAAAAAATCATTATTAGCTCGGCTCTCTTCTTCTTCACGTTCACCGGCTATAAACTTGCCCTAGCGAAAAGTTCTGGTTGTTCGTCCACTTGTGGACTTCAGTCTTGTTGCAGAAGCTGAGTTTTGTGTGCACATCCAGTTTACAGATCTCACTTATTTTTATACAGACTGTTGGTTCCTCGTCTTTCAGGCAGATGTACTCATCTTTCTTGATCGTGATCCAGTCTTTAGAACTTTATATCAACAAAGCAGTTTATTTTCATGTTTATTAGCAATCTTACCCGGTTCAGACATAATTATTTTCAAATTAGTCTTAAATAAACTTTACAGAATTATGTCAAAGTTTGTCAATGGCACCATGAACACTGAATTATTTCAAAGTCTGTCAAATCACTATTTACATTTTTGGAGTTTTCCCAGTGGCACTGTTGATATAATTATTCTCAGATCTGTCAGTGGTACAACTCGCAAAATATTATTTCAAGCTTTGTTCGTGGCACCGTTTGCACATTTTGAGGTTTGTCAGTGACACTGTTCATACATTTTGAGGTTTGTCAGCAGCAGTGTTCACATCTTTAGATTGACCATCCTCAGACAATTTGAGGTTTGTCAGTGACACTGTTCATACATTTAAGGGTTTGTCAGCGGCAGTGTTCACATTTTTAGATTGATCATCCTCAGACAGTTTGTCGGTGACACACTTCACTTATTTTGAGGTTTGCCAGTGGCAGAGTTCACTCACACCTTTAGAGCTGATACTGTTCATACAATGTGAGGTTTGTCAGTTCACACCTTCAGAGTTAATCATGTTTACACATTTTGAGGTTCATCAGTGTTCACACATTTTGAGGTTCATCAGTGATATGATTCATACAATTACTGGTTTGTCAGTGGCGCTTTTCATACCATTCAAGGTTTATTAGTAATACTGTTCATACAATTTCAGGTTTGTTGGTGATAATCTTCATTCAGTTCAAAATTTGTCAGCAACATTTTGATGTTTGTCCAGGACACTGTTAACACAATTTGAGGTTTCTCCTGGAAGTGCCCAAACATTTTTAGGTTTGCCAGTGACCTTGCTTTAAGCATAATTATTTTCATGACCACTATTAACATAATTATTCCAAAGTTTGTCAACGCACTGTTGCGACAAAAATCTCAAGATAACTTAGAATAACAGTTTAGAAGCACAAATAGATCACCACTGTCCGGAAATAATTGTAAAATGGGGGAGGTGGGAGGATCTGGCCAGCAAGATAGAAATACAATCAGAGGACTATGACTATCACCAGAATTTGAACCCTGTGCTGGTTGCTGAAGATAGGGACAAATCGCTTATGGGAATAGTGCTTAGCTGATACATCTGACAGAAAGATCTGAAACTGTGAAACAGCGCTTTTCCACTATAATTTGGCTGACTTTTTGAATGAGCTCATCTGTCAAACATAAATGTCATCCTTGTCCACCCTCTCAGCAAATCTTTGTGCCAATTTCTGAAGTTCCTGCACCAACCCCTCATTGAACTGTCACTCATAATTACCATTGTACACAGGACACAACTGACGATGAATCTTGGTGGCATTTTGACCTTCTGCTTGAATAAAACCAGTCACACTATGAATTGTACAGCTGGCGGGAAAGGCAATAACAGTGTCCATATTTAATCGTGAACCACTGAACAAATGCAACTGTACTTTGATGTGCAGTGAGCTAAAAGACTACTGAATGACGCAAGCAATGAATGGTGTCACCGTGGCACGTTTTTTAAAAATCACCTAATCAGAGATCTATTTTGGAATAGCCCTCGTAATAATAAACTGTGTGCTGTATCCACAGTGAAGTTTAGCTGTAGGTCATTTACTGCTGTCCTTGGGAATTATATGTGGTGAGGTCCCAATCTCTTCTACTGTGGGATTCTCATACCACTGCCTGAAAACCACAAGAATGGTCCAGCAACAATGTGCTATAGGAAGCCCCCCAAAAATGTAGACCAGCTTGTGGTTAGACAAATCTTCCACAATTTGTGCATGAGATTTCAGGGCCGGTTTTGCCATTCCAAGTCAACATATGTCTTCTTGGATGCTCAGCACTTAACCTGTAAATTTATAAACAGGTACAACGCAATTATGTCCTTGGGCCAATGATGACGAAGAATATTCCATCTCAATACTTGTATCATTCATGTCCCACATCTGTATACTGAAGCAGAGGTCGATCCCAATATCTTTCACCCCTCCGGAATTCAAAGCATTAGGAAGTAGTGATTTTATCTTTGCCTCTTGGTATATGCCTTGGAATGTTCACAATCTGTGGCTGCATACTAAGTGCCTATCACCAAATGAAGTTTCCATAACGTGTTTTGAAAGAGGCAGAGACTGTGTACCATACAGGTTACTGCATCTCCCAGTATTACTCTGAAACTAAAACCTTCATAAGCCTAACTGTGAGGCAGCCATCTGTGAAAACAGACTTGTCCAACAAGAGTTCATATTTCTCCCACAGTTAACCACAGAGAACATCTCCAATATCTTTAAATCAAGAATCTGTGGAGTGATCAAGTTCATTCCACAGCAAATCCACAAGTTTCTTCCACTGCACATGTCAGCTTGGACAGGAATTTCTCGTAGGTTTCATAGGGTGGCACATCCAGCCGGTTAAAACTGAAAAAAAAAAAAATTTGACACAATATTACTCCCTTTTAGGGAATGAAGAATGCGTGGACTTCCGGCCAAAATTTAGAAAATGCTTGGCAGAATGTTTAGCTTCAAAGTTATTTTTGCTTCCGACAGTGCTTTGCTAATGCAGTTTCTACACAAGAACGGTAGTCTACGGTTGCGCTGCCTAAGCTACTGAGTTTAGTGCTTGGTTGCAGCTCCGTGGGCTGTGTTTTCTCTGTGGAATGCCTTTCATTAGTGCAGCGGTTGTGTCGTGGTATACAGGGCTGGTAGCCAGTTTACGTGTGAGTTGGCGAAATACCTTATGTAATAAATCTATGTGTGTAAAGTAACCAACCTACCATGCCCAACTACTTCCATCAACGACAAACTGCATTTCTGGTGGCGACTATCAGCTTTGTCACCTCCAGCAACTAAAATACGCATTTACTGTCTGCGCATATTTCTGGATTGTTCACAAGTTTTTAAATTGCAGCAATGGGGGACATTTAATCTGATTTGCACTGGTACAGGAACTGAGCAAGTATGGGGAAACCTGATTGCGGTGAAGTTGAAACCTCGACTAAGACTAAAGAGAATGTGTGTGGCCAGGGAAAATTCAAAGAGGACATGTAAAGAGCTTGTCCATTCCAGGAAAAGGGAACATTAAAAAATAGGAGTTGAGAACCAGTATCACAGCACTTGGGACATCCCATAAGCCCTCTGTCATCATCTTCAGCAGCCAGCATAGAGCTCCAATGCTGATGGTAGTTTGATTACATGAAAGAAGCAGCACTGTTAATGCTTATATATGCTTATATTTAACAAAATAGGCAAAACTGGAACCAATCAGATATCACTGATACAAAACAGGTAAAACATTGGAACATAGTGATGCAAAACAGGTAGTAAAACAGTGTTACATATCACTAATGCAAAACAGGTAAAACAGTGGTACACAGCATTGATGCAAAAGGGTAAAGCAGTAGTACATACAATTGATATATAACAAGTAAAAAAGTGGAACAAATCACACATCATTAGCATAAAAAAGGCAAAACAGTGAACAAATCACATAATGTTGATACAAAACAGGTAAAACAGTGGAACATATCAGTGGTACACAACAGGTAAAAAAATGGAATGCATCAGTGGTACACAACAGGTAAAGCAGTGGAAAATATCAATGGTACACAACAGGTAAGACAGTGGAATATATCAGTGGTACATAACAGGTAAAATAGTGGAACATATCAGTGGTACACAACAGGTAAAATAGTGGAACATTTCAGTGGTACAAACCAGGTAAAATAGTTGAACATTTCAGTGGTACAAACCAGGTAAAATAGTGGAACATTTCAGTGGTACAAACCAGGTAAAATAGTGAAACATATTAGTGGTACACAACAGGTAAAAACAGTGGAACATATCAGTGGTACATAACAAGTAAAATAGTGGAACATATCAGTGGTGCATAACAGGTAAAAACAGTGGAACATATCAGTGGTACATAACAGGTGAAACAGTGGAACATATCAGTGGTACATAACAGGTAAAACAGTGGAACATATCAGTGGTACATAACAGGTGAAACAGTGGAACATATCAGTGGTGCATAACAGGTAAAAACAGTGGAACATATCAGTGGTACATAACAGGTGAAACAGTGGAACATAGTGGCACATAACAGATGAAACAGTGGAACATATCAGTGGTACATAACAGGTGAAACAGTGGAACATAGTGGCACATAACAGGTGAAACAGTGGTTCATAACAGGTGAAACAGTGGAACATATCAGTGGTACATAACAGGTGAAACAGTGGAACATATTAGTGGTACATAACAGGTGAAGCAGTGGAACATATCAGTGGTACATAACAGGTGAAACAGTGGAACATATCAGTGGTACATAACAGGTGAAACAGTGGAACATATCAGTGGTACACAACATGGAAACAGTGGAACATATCAGTGGTACATAACAGGTGAAGCAGTGGAACATATCAGTGGTACATAACAGGTGAAACAGTGGAACATATCAGTGGTACATAACAGGTGAAACAGTGGAACATATCAGTGGTACACAACATGGAAACAGTGGAACATATCAGTGGCACATAACAGGTGAAACAGTTGAACATATCAAGGATATAAAACAGTGGAATACATCAGTGGTGGTACACAACAAGTAAAACACTGGAACACAGAGACAGCCAATAACTAACCAGGTGTGAGCTTTGGGTAAGTTGTCCGTGCTGGTGTCAACTTGGTGAATAGTGAACAGCCGAGGACCTGCAGCTCCTGTAGACCCTGGGGAGAGGGAAGGGGAAGCAAACTCAATTTTGCATCTTAGCAATAGCCACTACTTCCATGATGATTAGTTATCTTCATCTGTGTCTCAACAAAAAGTACTGCCACAGCAATGTGTACTGTCTCAACAATGTGTACTGTCATAGCAATATGTACTGTCAACAATGTGTACTGTCACAGCAATGTGTACTGTCTCAACAAAGTGTACTGTCACAGCAATGTGTACTGTCTCAACAATATGTACTGTCACAGCAATGTGTACTGTCTCAACAATGTGTACTGTCACAACAATGTGTACTGACTCAACAATATGTACTGTCACAGCAATATGTACTGTCTCAACAATATGTGCTGTCTCAACAATATGTACTGTCACAGCAATATGTAATGTCTCAACAATATGTGCTGTCTCAACAATATGTACTGTCACAGCAATGTGTACTGTCTCAGGAATGTGTAATGTCTCAACAATATGTACTGTCACAACAATATGTACTGTCACAACAATGTGTACTGTCTCAACAATATGTACTGTCACAGCAATGTGTACTGTCTCTACAATATGTACTGTCACACAAATGTGTACTGTCACAGCAATGTGTACTGTCACAGCAATGTGTACTGTCACAGCAATGTGTACTGTCACAGCAATGTGTACTGTCACAGCAATGTGTACTGTCACAGCAATGTGTACTGTCTCAACAATGTGTACTGTCTCAACAATGTGTAATGTCTCAACAATATGTAATGTCTCAACAATATGTGCTGTCTCAACAATATGTAATGTCTCAACAATATGTAATGTCTCAACAATATGTGCTGTCTCAACAATATGTAATGTCTCAACAATATGTAATGTCTCAACAATATGTGCTGTCTCAACAATATGTGCTGTCTCAACAATATGTAATGTCTCAACAATATGTGCTGTCTCAACAATATGTAATGTCTCAACAATATGTGCTGTCTCAACAATATGTAATGTCTCAACAATATGTACTGTCACAGGATTTTTAACAAATTATGCACCATGGGTTAGTTAGAAAAAAATCAAGCATCCCACTGCTTAGGTTGGTGAGTGCCGTCTGCAAAGATGATTGTGGTTGCTCACTGAACCAGGTGTTTACCATATTTATTACATGGTACCTACTGTAAATGCACCTTCTGATATTGCAGTTTCTTATGAAAAACTTTCTGAACGGTCCCAACTGATACATCAAATTATTCTTTTGCTAGTGAACATATGCTTTGACAACAGTTCGCCTGTACATTCTGATGATAGTTTTTTTCGATTGCACCAATATGTGTGTGATCTGGCCATGGAAGAACTGCCGTGAACTGATGACCGTTCTGAAACATTTGTGCCCAGTCTGTTCTCTTTGACACACATTTGTCACAGTACACTGCCTGCATTCGTCAAAGGATGTCCACTGGTCGATATCCTTCAAACAAACGAAATTGAATCACCACTCTTTGAGCTTCTTTGGCTATTTTCTTGACAGTCAGAAACAGAATTTATGCACCATGGGACGATAAACACATGCTCTTTTATTCACTTTCAGTTTACCCCATGATTACGATGTGATTTTGTTCAACACACATAATTATATGCGATGCAGCATGAATGGGTTTCAAATAAAAGCTCCTAATAGAATCATACACTTAAAGAAAGATAGGTAGACACAGAAAGATTTTTTTTTTTTTAAGTATTCAGATACCATGAGTTGTAAACCCTTTGGCTTGGTTCTATGGATATCGCAACCCTTCGGCCTTGATTCCATTATAGGTACCATTAATCTGGGAGAAATGTGGCTTTTCTGCCTACCCCCAGGAGTGAACCCGGACCACAAGGAGTTTGTCACCCGGCCGCCGCAAAAGTCAGGTTGAACCAACTACGATAGAGAGCCGGGCACACAGAAAGATAAATTTTATATGTGCATGCATACACACATGCACGCACCCAGACGCATACAGGGAGAAACACAAAGCAGCCCTTGGTATCACACTCTAACTGGACAGAAACTTATCACAAACTGACAGAACCTACCTTGTAAAGCTTTAAACCCCAGCAGAGGAACCCGAGAGCTGCCGGTGACAAACTGCAACAGCCTGGCTCTCATTTCATCATCAAAGTTCTCCACTGCCCTCCAGAACCACCTGACCATGTTGCTTTCGGCCGTGCAGTGTTTGAGTCGGGTGTGTCGCTTCCAGTCCTCAATATCAATCTTTCCCAGACCGCCAATCATCAGCTGTTGTTGACAAGAATGACAGAGAATAGGAATGATAAAGCTGATGAGATGAAGACTCTGGAGTCAACAGAAGAGACAAAAGTGCCCTTATCCGGAGAAGCTGAGCAGAGTGTCTGAACAATTTGTAAAGCACAGGGGGAAAGAAAAGACAGGCAAAGTTCTCATCAGGTGCCTTATGTAATGTATGGGCATAACAAGCTGATGATGGTGATGATGACTGTGGTGATGATGTTGTTGATAATGATGATGATGGTAATGATTATATTGCTAATGATGGTGATGATGATAATGATGATGATGATGAGGTGGTGGTGGTGATGATGATGGTGGTAAAGATGATGGTGGTAATGGATAATGGTGATGGTGAAGATGGATGATGATGGTGGTGGTGATAATGATGGTAAAGATGATGGTGGTGGTCATAATGATAGTAAAGATGATGGTGGTGGTGGTAAAGATGATGGTGGTGGTGATGATGATGGTGGTCATGATGATAATGATGGTCTTGGTGATGATGATGATGTTGGTGATGATGATAATGATGGTGATGATGATGAATCTTCCAGGCATGTTGTAACACCTGACTAAAGACTACTATCTCAACCACTGTCTGGACAATATGTACTATAGCAACAATATGTGCTGTATCAATTATGTACAGTTCCTCTGCTCAGCTCCTGAGCTAAGTGCATGGAACGACACTGTGAGCTGTGAATTTAAATTTGAAATGTTTTTCGACTGTGCCCAATGTAGTCTGTGTTGTGAACTGCCGATTCAGAAAATGGTGAGTCTCCTGTTGCCACAGAACTAGTGAAGCCTTCTGTAATTACCTGATCTTGTTGTACCTGCTGCTTCCATTGATGATGAAATGCATTTCTAGTGTCAGACTGTATTGGCACTTCTGACGACAGCTGCCTTATGCATTAACTCTTTCAGTCCCAGGAGGTTTAGCATCACAGGCCCAAGGGGTAGTCAAGAAAGATGTAAAATCGGCGCATCTTGCGTTCATTGAGCTTCCAGGTAGGAATCTGTGAACGTATGACGCGTTCTTTGGGACTCAAAGAGTTAATGCATGTGTATGCTATTGGATTTGCTAAGACTGCAGTCTATGTTAACTTTTCCCCTACAAGGGACAGTGGTGGATTTTTCTGTTCCCACTGGCACAGGAACAGAGCAACTCTGGGGATCAACTGGCTGGGTGATGAACAATACTCTGATCTAGTTAGAGGAAAACAGAACAAGGAACAAACCTCCAGCTCTCTCTCATCAAAAGCTCGCAACATGTGCTGTGGAATGATTTCACTGAAGCCCTTCTGTAATGACAAGAACTGTGCTTCTATGCCTCGCATGAACCTCCACTGCACATAAAGTCTGTCAAGTATAAAGTGCCAATACAGGTTTAATTTTAAACACTGGAAACCAATCAATAAACGTAAAAAATAAAATATAAACATAGCACCCTTTTCCAGTTGATGGGGTGTGATGATACAAGGTATATGTTGATAATCCCATATTTACAGATGCAGTGACACCTCATTAGCACACAGCCAAGAATGGACAATAAGAAGTAACAAAATTCACAATTTGTTTAAATCACCACTCATTTCTGACCTCACAAAGGCAAATAGAATGAACTATGTTGGGGCATTTAGAAAGAAGAGCGATAACAGAGAGACAAAAACTGCATACAAAAAACAGCTGAATGGGGTAGACCACAAGGTAGACCAAGAAAACGGTGGAGATAATTACAGAGGCAGACTTACAAACACTTGGAGTCCCCAACTGGAACAGAGCAGTTATGGGGCGACTCGTCTGCGGTCATGCTAGAACCTCGACTAATGACCGGGCAGTCACCAAAGGGAAAGAGAAAGCCATTCACAGAGATGACTGGAGGCGGGTGATATCTGCAGTAGTGCATCTCCAAAGTTTGTTATCTGACGAAAAAGAAGTAGAAGAGGAAGAAGAAGCAGAAGAAAGGGGAGGAGGAGGAAGAAAAATGGACACTCACTGGGTAATGAGGTTAGTATCATAAAGGCAGCCTGTAGATTTTCAGTATATTTCCTAGAACTACTGAAAACGATCTCGGAAGTGGTGAATTTCTGTTGTGAAGAACAGTTTGTTTATCCCAGGCAATTTTTCTTGCTTGAAATCTTGTCCAGATAAGAGGAATTTCTGATAAGAAGAACTATTTCTTGGGTATCTGGTGAGTTGTCCTTATCAGGTCTGCACTGTATCTATTCTGAGCCAGGTTAATGATGAGGATTTGAATACTTAACCACCAGCTGGCAGAAAAATGCAGGAGTATGCTTCCAGTTCATAAACAGGCTTTTGATTAAAAAAATAGTCAATCACGAAATAAAAAGTTCCATATTTACAACCACGATATGAGGGGGCTTAAAATTAAAATCTTAGAAGTGTGACAAAAATTAAAATAACCAGGCCACTGTCTTCTAACCTCTCAACAATGTTGTTTTGGATTGTCAAAAGTGTAAAGCATGTCACATCAGGGTGCAGACAAACAAGGTGACAGTTTAAAGATGGCTACCCAATTTATGTCATCGTCTGTGGCTTAGGCATTGCAAACACACTTTATAATGCCAGGTTTGATCCCAGCTGGAAACCTTGCGCCTTGTGTTGGTTTCGACAGTGGTATCAAGAAGCCAGCGGTCTAGAAAGCGATGGCAAACTACTGGACGTAAACCTGCCTAGAAAAACCACAACAGTCAAAATATGCTGTGGTTGGTTCTGCATTGTCCTGTAAAGGATATGCAACTAACTTTTAACTTCACTTTTGACATGCACAAAAAGAAGCAGCAATCTGTTCTCCTTTTAATGATCAATGAAAGGGACGAACCACACAGACATAGATCAGTGAAAGAAGGTCCAGTATGGTGACGCTTGCCTCACACTCCAGCAAGTGTGTGAGCAGAGTGGGACAATTAAAAACTCTGTAACAGACTGTTCACGAGCAGGCCAGGCACTCCGAGCAGTGACCACAGAGTCGAATGAACTCATGCCTTTTTTTTTAAAAACTTTCAGCTACTATTTAAAACAGAAACAAACACCTAGTTCCATATTCACAACTGAAACACACAACCAGTTTTATATTTAACAATAGAAACAACACCCAGTTCCATATTCACAACTGAAACACACAACCAGTTTTATATTTAACAATAGAAACAACACCCAGTTCCATTTTACAACTGAAACACACAATCAGTTTTATATTTAACAATAGAAACAAACACCTGGTTCTATAATTATAACTGAAGACACACAACCAGTTTTATATTTAACAACAGAAACAACCCATTCCAGATTCACAATGAAAACATACAACCAGTTTTATATTTAACAATAGGAAAAAACACCCAGTTCCATATTTACGACTGAAACATACAACCAGTTTAATATTTAACAATGGAAATAACACCGAGTTCTATATTTACAACTGAAACATAAAACCAGTTTTATACTTACAACAGGCCCGGCTCTCTAGCGGAATTGGCTAAACCGGATTTCGCGGAGACCGGGTGACGTACTCCTTGTGGTCCGGGTTCAATCCCGGGGGTAGGCAGGAAAGCCACATTTTCTCCCAGATTTACGGTATTTAAAATGGAATCAAGGCCGAAAGGTTGCGATATCCATAATACCGAGCCTAAGGGTTAACAACTCATGGCTTCTGGTTACTAAAACAAACATACTTACAACAGAAATATACACCCTGTCCCACATTTACGTCAGAAACAAGCACCAAATTTCATGTTTCAAACCGAAACAAACACCTAGTTCTATATTTTCAACTGAAACATACACCTGGTTTCATATTTGCACATAAGGGCATGTGGGAGAGGTCAAAGACTTACTTGACATATTCTCGTTTGTTGTCCTCGGTGACGCTAACGTCCCTTCCTCCAGGCTTTAGCTCATACTCCTGGACACAGCCAAATGAATGGTGCTCTACAGCGAAAGTGTGGTCCAGCACATTCTCTATATTGTTTACCCTGCAACAAATCAAGTGGATCTAAGTTTACCGAGGGGAGGTCAGATATGGTTAACTCTTTTAGTCCTACATCATCATCATGTGTCATGCCGGTAAGCGTAGGCTGTCATGTTTCCCCATCTCACACGATCACTTGAATTACGAATCAGATCCATGTTGTTTTTCCCCTTGCTCCATCACATCCCCACTGGAGCAGGTGGTGGACCAAGCTTGAGAGCAGCTGACCGACAGTTGTTTGCCCCGACAGCAGGCTGAGGATCACAATGACAATGGCTACGGTCACCCGACCCGTATGGTCACTGTCAAGAATGAAAACAATGGCAAACTACATTCTTCAAGCTACCAAGAACAGTCATGATTTCAGTCGTACAAAGGTTAAAGTCAGGAGGAACGATTTCATTGCAGCAGGTTTATCCCATTTCGTTCGGTCTCTCTCTGCAGAACAGCTAGCCGCCTGCCAAGAGTATCGCACAGAGCACGAACTATATAGCTCCGACTGAATGATGCAACTGTGAAAAGAACCCCATGCACTTCAGAGCACGAGGCAAACAGCTTGACCACTTCACCAGAGATCTCTCACAGAGACTTAGCTTATGTCCGAAGGAGTTAAAAATGGCAATATTAAAATCATGGTTATACTACTTCCAGAGGTGCCAAACATACAACAGGAAACAAGTTTATTGTTCACTTTTGAGTCGCTCACTAAACATCAGATGTAAAAACAGACATAACTAGTTCAGGTGAATAATACCCAGCCAGGCACAGTGCACTGTCTGGGACAAGAAGAGTTCACATGTATTGTGGGAGAACAGATAAGTTAAAAGATTGTATTGCTATGCAGATTTACTCTATAGACATTAAATAACTCTCTCCCTCCTATTCTAAATGAGAGCGGAAGTGTCCGTGTGTTAATCCTTCAGGCTCGAGAAGACTAAATCTCGCCACTTCCGGTCATAATGCCGATATATGGCCATTTCTGCATTGTAAAAAACATATTTAAATGCCACTGGGTATTTGTACACCTGAGTAGCATTTAGGAGGCCTGTGTGTAAATATATTGACCAAGAATAACATTTAGAGGGTTTTATTTTAACTAAAGGTTTTTTCAGAGCAAGTTGATGTCAATTTTTCCTGTAAGCCTCAGTGATACAGAACACGACATGAGTCACACGATACATATTGGTATTTTTTTAAAGCCGCCCCAGGTAATGTATTTCATTTAATGTTTTCCTGTGTTCACTTTAACTGATTACCCCTTATATATATATATGTATATATATATATATATATAAAACTTAAAATACTCAGCTAAGCAAACTGTTTTTAAATTTATAAGTGACCTGTGTAAAATGGCTGCACTGTAAGGATGTTTTCTGAAAATTCCTATGGGTTCATGAAACATTGTATTTATCAAGGAGGACAGGGCTAAAGTTAGCTGCATAACCTCTACAGGACACTGCAGAACCAACCTCAGCATTTGTGTTTGTTCTGGGCAATTTTATGTTCTGTAGTTTTCCACTGCTTTTTTAATTTTCTTTTTAAAGTCGGTATTGGACATAATTGTAGAAGACAATACAAGGCGGTCTGCTGCAAAACTGTCTACAGCTGAATCAACCATGATACTTTGAACTAGGAGGTGAGGATAAGATGCTGGTGTTGGATAGGAAACACACTGAAGAAAACCTAAGAACAGTATAACTAGAATGTCTTTGCACTGGAACCCACAGGAGCACAGAAATCAAGGAAGACCCAAAAAAAAACACATGGAGAAGGGAGCTAGAGGATGAAGGTAAAAAGATGGGGAGATCATGAGAAGAGCTGCATGCGATAGTGAAGGATAGAACAACATGGCGTGAGTTAGCTGAGGGCTTATGAACCATTAGCAGTTAGAAAGGCAGAAGAAGAGACTTCAGAATTATGAAGTGTGTTGACATATGTAAAGTTACACCTGTAATTGTGTATACAGCACCATACATTAATGTCTTGTATGTAAAACCATTTATAAAATTTTAATAAACTTTGAATATTAAATCAGGTTAAAAGAAAACTTCATTCACAACTTTTGTTTACTGGAATATGTTTTGAAATTCAAAAGTAACAGCCAATCCCAGAAACACAACATGCATTAGGACAACAATCAAAAAAGGCAACATACAACCATACCGCAAGAAAACATAACATTCGTCAGTAAAACAAAACAAGACAGCAACATACAACAGAAAGGTAACATACACCTACACACCATTTTTTTTTAAACATACAACATTCAGCAAGGAAACAAAAAGCATTTATCAGTAAAACAAAGACAGCATCATACAACAAAATGGCGACATACCCCCCATACTTAAAAAAAAATCCATCATACAACACTCAACAGTAAAATAAAAAAAGAGATAACATACAACATCAAACAGCAAAGACATCACATAATCATTTGCCATCAAAAACCTACATTCATCAGCATGCACAGAGACACACAAATTCAGCATCTGACAAACACAAAAGACATACAAACGTCACCAACCAAAAAAAAAACGTACGTGAGTAAAACAAAAACCCAACATGCAAGAGTAAATAAAAATCCAACATACAACATCCAACAAAGGCTGCGATGTAAATGAGGGTCAACACTCTCCAGATCATCAAGGTTGACAGGCTTTCCCAGAAGCTGTTTATAGAACGGCATGGTAAAACCACCGTCCAGGTAATGACTGTGAAAGATGGCCAAACCGATAATGCGGCCCACGAAATGGAAGTAAGACAGGTGTTCCTGAAAATAACACAATGGTACGTATATATTACTTTACTGCATGAAGCAACAAAGAAATACATGACCTGTTTTAAATCACCACTAATTACTGGCAGCATGAGGGCTGATATACTACAATGGCGTGGCATTTAGACAAAAAAACTGCTTACACAAAAGAGGTGAATGTGAGCAGGCCATAAGGCAGACCAAGAAGAATGTGGAGAGATAAAGAGATAATATACAGACAGATCTACAAACACGTGCAGTCACCAATTAGAAAGACAGGACCCATCACAGAGAGAAATGGAGATCTATGATATCTGCAGCAATTAATCTCACCCATCACAAAGAGAAATGGAGATCTATGATATCTGCAGCAATCAATCTCACCCATCACAAAGATTAAATGGAGATCTATGATATCTGCAGCAATCAATCTCAAAGCATTGGAATGCAGAAAAAGAAGAAAGGGAATTTCAGCCAGCTAAATCATCTGGTCAACAATTATTATATAGACCATAGATGAATAGCTAGTGGCAGCTAGATTGATGTAGACACGCTCTTGTGCACTTAGATATTCTAACCACCCGTGGACTGAAACCATACTATAACACTCCCGTAGTTTTTAACATCTTCTTCTTTTTCTCTAATCCTGCCTACCTCAAGAAATTGTTGAGAGAGTGAGAAGTAAGAATGGCCTAGAAGAAAAGGTGCAGGAACTCACGAAAAGTGTATATTACAGAAGTGCTGACAAATGCTGCTTAAATATTAAAGCCATTAAAACAGGCAAAAATAAACTATCTTTGTCAATATACTTGGCATTTTTGTTTAAACAGAACACAATTATAGCCAAAACTGCTTGCAGTAGGTTGAATTTGGTCAACATTATAGTTGTTTTCTTGAATATGGACAGGACTGGACTTATGCTTTAAAGAAAAAAAAAACGGTGCCTGTATTGTGTACCATTGCATACTGCAAGAAACAAAGCTCTGGATGGAGAGGTTGTCTGTGTGCTCCCTCTTATGTGTTGTCTGAGTGAAAGTTAGTCCTCATTTCTCTGAGGATCTTAGTGAGTCATTCCATTCGTGTGTATGGTCTTCCTCTTACTCTGTGGTTATCATATTTCTTCAAGTTTTTATCTTGTCAGGGTCCTTTGGGAGCATGTGAACAGTGCGGAGGCATAAACAGATTATTACAGTCTGTGCAGAATGGCACTGCAGGGAGTTACCAGGGAATCTGGCCGGGGCTCAAAACTCAAGGGAAAGGCGAGAGGGATGTACAATCAGACAGTTACTGATGCCATCGGAAATGGAACTCTTCACCTGCTGCTGAAGATGGGGACACGGCACTTATGTCGATTCTAAATGCAACATTCAAGTTTTCAAAATAGTTGTATTAATGTGCTGTAATAAGTCCTCCCATCTACCAATATACTCACTGATTTCATTCTCCTATCACGATTCATGTTAGGCCTAGTTTGGGTATACAGTCACTGGGTTGATTTCTAAGTTGGATTTCATCTATAAGGTATAGTTTAACATAGACTCACTGGGCTGATTCCCAAGACAAGGTTTATCAGTAGGGTATAGTTTAGATAAATATATAATCTGAGCAGACTCCCAAGTCAGGATTTATGTTAGGTATAGTTCAGATCTATACTCACTGGGTTGATTCCTGAGTTGGGTTTGATCTATAAGGTACAGTTTATTATAGACTCACTGGGTTTATTCCCAAGACAAGGTTTATCAGTAGGGTATAGTTTATATACAATATACTCTGAGCGGACTCCCAAGTCAAGATTTATGTTAGGTATAGTTCAGATCTATACTCACTGGGTTGACTCCTGAGTCGGGATTGATCTGTAAGGTATAGATGTCATCCCTGGAGTACTGGAAGAGGCCATAGTAGGGGTTCAACATCTCATGAGACAACAAATAGAACCATTCCCTGTCAATGCATAACGGAGAGAACATCAAACAATACCACATACTCTTCTTCATCTTCTATTTATTCTTTGACAGAGCACAGACCAAGGGTGGCCAACCTTTCTTTTTTTTGTTTCCGAAGGCCAAATTTAGAATTATCAACCTGGTCGCAGTCCGTGTAGAAAAAACAATCCCTTATAAATATAACACTCACAATTTCTCATAACACCTTATTTTGTGTGGGATATCTAAAGTTGATATCTGGACTTTTTGGGGTTCTGTATAACAGCATATATTTCTGTGTTTTGCTATCTCAAGGGCCTGATTATACAGTCATTTTACACCAGCCTCGCAAGCTAGTAAAAATTGCTCGGCGGGCCCATTTTGTCCCAGGGGCCACAGTTTGCACACCCCTGGCGCAGACCCTCAACCAACCCACACCAAGTTGTCATATCCTTTGCTACTCATATCTTGCACTTCACTTTCCAGTTCCCTTCTCCTTGTGTTTTTTTATCTGCTTTTATACCTTTGACCCTGTGGGTTCCAGTGCACTCTAGTTATATGGTTATCAGGTTTTCTCAATGTGTGTCCTATTCAATGCCAGCATCTATTCTATGCAATCCTTCTTTGTCAACTGACACCAGAAACAGACTTCTCAAGAGCTGTATAAATCCTATCCTGATACATGAAAATGAATCATGGACAGTTGGACAAAAAGTGAAAACTCATCTGGAAGTAATAGAGATGTCTTTTGTCATGTCATGAAAAGGAAAAACTGGAGTACATCATGATGGTGGGAAAGTTGGAGGGGAGGAGAGGCAGAGGGAGACCGAGAGAGAAGATGCTGGACAGTCTGACATCAGGGCATGGACTATCTGTGTTAGAAATGACTGAAAGTATATGAGACAGAAGGTTGTAGATAGACATGACTATCAACGTTATTCAGCATGGCCTATAAGAAGTAGAACAACAATCAAATACACATTTACCCCCCCCCCCCCCCCACACACACACACACACACTTCTTCAACACACATAATTAGTATTCTGGCATCTTGTTGGTACCTTTCTGTCTTTCCAGATGACAATTTTTCACTGTGCTATAACGTAGCGTGGGAATCCCAAGCCCTTAACAATGACAAGTGAGACTAGCAAGACCTGTTATATTGAGAAAAACCTTAATGTACGTTAATTTCCATAACCACTGTTACTACCACATGTATCTGACATGTTTCTTTTCAGATACTCAACTTACATATTGTCTGCAATCCTACTCTCCTTTGTCCCAGTTCCCGACTTTAATTCCCCCCCCCCCCCCCCCCCCCCCCCACCCCCCCCACAATCCATGGCATCTTTGTTCTCATGAATCCATCTCAATACCTGTATCATTCATAACCTGCTCAAATGCATCTTTAAGGGACTCTACAAGCCTCCGAGTGTATGTTAGCTTTCTGAGCCTACAAAGACTAAGCACTGAGAAAACTGTTGTATCACCTGCTCTCCTTAAAATCTCCTCTTCTTAAAGTCCATGCCGCGTGGCATTGGTAGTCATGTCTATCCACAACCCTCGGTCTTGTGTACCTTCAGTCAACTCTCACGTACATGATCCGCCATGCCATGATGTCAAACCATCCAGTATCTTTTCTCTCATGTCTCCCTCTGCCTCTCTTACTCTCCAACTGCCCTACTGTCACAATGTGCTCGTTTTCTCCTTCTCATCACATAACCAAAGAATGTAGATTGTCACCTTCTGATGTGAGCAATCAGTGTTTGTAATCTTGTTGTCCCATCTAATGCCAAGTATTCTTCATAGACATCACATACTAGCAGCTATAAGCAAAATAACTACTGATACAAACTCCCCCAAAAAAATCACATTGCTTTAAAAAAATGAAATACTCATACTGTACCTGGCAACACCGCCATAGTCGAGTCCTTCCTCTCCATGAAACTTCACCATTAAACGTTTGCGCAAATCCTTTGACCTCATCTTCATGACTTGCCGGTAAGAGTCCTAGCATGAAACCATAGGACATCTTCATTAAGGTTATTTCATCAAGTCTGACTGTCACCTCACCCACCACTACACCATCATCACAAGGAGCCAGATTATAGCAACCACATATGTGGGGTCCCCCCCCCCCCCCCCCCCCCACATACCTCAATTACAGCAGAAATACCTCAATGACAGGGGGTCATATCTTTAAGACACTAGACATACCACAATGACAGCAGACACACCTTAAAGACAACAGACATATCCTGATAACAGCAGACAGACATTAAAGACAGCAGACATATCCTGATAACAGCAGACAGACATTAAAGACAGCAGACTTAACTCAAAGACAGCAGATATACCTTAAAAACAGAAGACATAACTTAATGACAGCAGACATACTTCAATGACAGCAGACAGACCTTAAAAACAGCAGACTAACCCTTAATGACATCAGACATACCTTAAAGACAGCAGACAGGCACATCTCAATGAGATTTGACATACACTCAATGACAGCAGACAGACATACCTCAATGGCAGTGGACAGACATACCTCAAAGACAGCTGACAGGCATACCTCAATGACAGCAGACAGACATACCTCAATGACAGCAGACAGACATACCTCAATGACAGCAGACAGACATACCTCAATGACAGCAGACAGACATACCTCAATGACAGCAGACAGACATACCTCAATGACAGCAGACAGACATACCTCAATGACAGCAGACAGACATACCTCAAAGACAGCAGACAGACATATCTAAAAGACAGCAGACAGACATACCTCAATGACAGCAGACATACTCAAAGAGCATACCATATCTAAAATGACAGCAGACAGACATACCAATGACAGCAACAGACATACGAAAAGACAGAAGACAGACATACCTAAAAGACAGCAGACAGACAGACAAACCTCAAAGACAGCAGACAGACATATCTAAAAGACAGCAGACAGACATACCTCAATGACAGCAGACAGACATATCTAAAAGACAGCAGACAGACATACCTCAAAGACAGCAGACAGACATATCTAAAAGACAGCAGACAGACATACCTCAATGACAGCAGACAGACATACCGAAAAGACAGAAGACAGACATACCTAAAAGACAGCAGACAGACAGACAAACCTCAAAGACAGCAGGCAGACATACCTCAATGACAGCAGACAGACATACCAAAAAGACAGAAGACAGACATACCTAAAAGACAGCAGACAGACAGACAAACCTCAAAGACAGCAGGCAGACATACCTCAAAGACCTCCTCCCTGCTGATCTCCAGCCTGCAGTGACCTGCCTGTGGCTGTAGCGAGCTGATCTCATGCTTGAGAACTTTCATCTTCTGCACCAGGTCACGCTTACACTTGGGCAGGTTGGGCTGTTCATTCTCCTTGTCTGGGCAGGGACTTCTCCTGAACAAAGAGCAGATATGAATTAGTTAAGAGTGAGTCCCTATTCTAACTTCACTGCAAATGGGTCCCCATAAAATTCCTCGGCTCCTGTACCCGTAAAAACAACCCATAATGCCCATCACTGTTCCTTGTAGAAAAATTGAAACAGACTGCAGTCTCAGGCAGACAGCAGCATAACAACATCATCATGTGATATGCTGGTAAGTGTGGGCTGTAGTGTTTCGCCAACTCACACCATGAACAGAATCAGTTGTCTCACCCCATCCATTTGGCCAGACCATATAGGTACTTCAACTGGGATAACTTTAAAAAAAAAAAAAAAAAACTAACAACAAAAGACAACCTGGAATCTTAACTACTCACAGTCTGTTCTGTCACAACAAAAGACAACTTGGAATCTAACCACTCACAGTCTGTCCTGTAACAAATGTAGATTCTGTGACAGACGTGGATCTGTGAACTGAGTTGTGCGGTTGTTGTGATCTACAAAGTATATCCGCCCACTGGTGGTTCTCCTGACCTCCCAGCCTTCAGGAAGTGGGCCAAGGTCTTCAGCTTGCAACTCCAGCTGTCTGAAACACACAAAGAGAGGTCAATGCTTATCAGATCTACTATGGAACTGTAGACACAAGTAAACAGGGGGTATCAGATCTACTATGGAACTGTAGACACAAGTAAACAGGGGGGTAAATCATCCTTTTCTTGTTTGTAAAAAACACTGTCTATGCTTTTCTCTTGTGTGCATGTGTGCGCACATGTGTTTGTGGGTGTGCGTGGGTAATGTGTGAGGGTGGGCTCCTAGATGAAGTGGTCAAGCTGTGCGCCCCATATTCTGACAGTCGCTGTTTCATTCCACAGCTGCATCATTTGGTTCATGGGTGCAATTTTTAGGGAGATCCCTGCGGATCATAGCTGGAGCTATGGTGCTCATGCTTTGTGTGATGCTCCTGTCTGCCAAGAGAGACCAAGCCATATGGTCTAAAACCTTGGTGCAAAGAAACTGATCCTCTTGACTTTAACCTTTAACACGGTTTTTTTATTTTTATGTCAAAGGTAAAGGGGTAGGTATGCCATCCTTTTCTTGATTGCAAAAAGCAAAAATTAAAAACGAGGTTTCATTCCCATAGATGCAAAGTCTTTTTCAGGGCTCAGATGACCTGTACATCAACACAGCATACTTGACAGATAACACTCAAATGTTGCTCTTCTTCTTCATTGCCTGTCCAAGTGACAAATTATGTTGTGCCTTTTTTCCATCAGAAAATAAGCATTTGGATCCTAAGCAAGCCAAACTGTTGTCAAGGACAAGGCAACTTTTTATAAGAGTGCCTCAAGGCACATGACAGTATCAGGACACAGAAGATTGGCTGCTTCAAGGCACATGACAGTATCAGGACACAGAGGATCGGGTGCCTCAAGGTGCATGACAGTATCAGGACACAGAAGATCGGGTGCCTCAAGTTGCATGACAGTATCAGGACACAGAGGATTGGCTGCTTCAAGGCACATGACAGTATCAGGACACAGAAGATCGGGTGCCTCAAGTTGCATGACAGTATCAGGACACAGAAGATTGGCTGCTTCAAGGCACATGACAGTATCAGGACACAGAAGATCGGGTGCCTCAAGTTGCATGACAGTATCAGGACACAGAAGATTGGCTGCTTCAAGGCACATGACAGTATCAGGACACAGAAGATTGGGTGCCTCAAGTTGCATGACAGTATCAGGACACAGAAGATTGGCTGCTTCAAGGCACATGACAGTATCAGGACACAGAAGATCAGGTGCCTCAAGGCATATGACAGTATCAGGACACAGAAGATCGGGTGCCTCAAGGCATATGACAGTATAAGGACACAGAAGATCGGGTGCCTCAAGGCATATGACAGTATAAGGACACAGAAGATCGGGTGCTTCAAGGCATATGACAGTATCAGGACACAGAAGATCGGGTGCCTCAAGGCATATGACAGTATCAGCACACAGAAGATCGGGTGCCTCAAGGTGCATGACAGTATCAGGACACAGAGGATCGGGTGCCTCAAGGCGCATGACAGTATCAGGACACACAGGATCGGCTGCCTCAAGGCATATGACAGTATAAGGACACAGAGGATCTGATGCTTCAAGGCATATGACAGTATCAGGACACAGAAGATCTGGTGCCTCAAGGTGCATGATAGTATCCGGACACAGAGGATCAGGCCTTAGGCACATGGGAAGAGCATCCCATATTTTTACAGACCAATTGGCACTAGGTGGGTAATGTGGTCAGTATTCCGCCGGGATAACAATAGGTTTGAACCTAAAACAGCCATTTAATATCAATCATGGTGTGGACTTGAAAACTCATTTTCCTAATGAGTCTTTTAAAGGACACTGTCAACCATGCTTTGAGATTAAGCTGAGTGTCATGGGTTCTATGAAAACTGTGGTTCCGGAGTCCACCAACTCTGAGATCACCATGCCAGCTCTGTTTATGTTACTTTTGGACATTAGGCTATTCTTGGCAAATGTTGTGGATGTGTGCCAGATATCTAAAATGAGGTTCTGTAACAACCAGTACAGAGCCTGTTGGAGTCTGAGGTGAGGTAGGGTTGTTCCAATATTCACAACACAGCAGTCTAAATTCTCCATAATGCCTATGTCTGGAATAACCTCATCACATGCAACTGTTCAAGAAGTCTCCCCATTTACACATCCACATGCCTCTTGGGTGTCCATGAGTCTCAAGATGAGAACCCCTGAACCGCAATATCCCTTGTTCTATTCTCCAGAGAAGCCTTGACATTTCACAACAGGCCTAGCAGAATCAGGGAAAGATCAGCTGCTGACATGGCTGGAGAACACAGCTGTTTGTTTACACCTGCCCTCAAATGTGAGCACCAAGAGAAATTACACTCACCTGGGAACTCGTGGGTCGTGCCAGGTACTCACTCCCGTTATTGTGTGCAGGAAATAGACTTGACCTTGGTGTGTTGTGCGCTGCTCTGTGGGGTGAGCGAGAGAATGAGAGTGAGAAAGACTAGAGGGGGAAGAGTCAAACCGTGGGATAGAATGTGTGGGTATGAGAAACATAGGGAAGGGGGAAGAGGGGGGGGGGGGGGAGAGCAAGAGGGCAAAATAAAACTAAAACTTTAAGTTTCCCAGTCATTTTAATTAACAAGAAATATGATAGGAGTGAGCAAAGAGACAGGTGAGAGAGACAGAGAGAGAAAGACAGAGAGTATGAAATACTGTGTGTAAAAGAGAGACTGGGAAGGGGGGGGGGGGTCAAGGGTGCCCCCCAAAAATTGAACTCTTTCAGCTTCCAGTAGTTCTACTTAATAGAAAATTTGATAGGAGGGAGAGGAGTGAAAGGTATGAGTGCGAGAGCAAGAGACAGATAGACAGAGAGTGTGTGTGCATGTTTATGTGTGTGACAGACAGACAGAGGGAAGGGGGCAGCACATGGAGAGGAGAAAGAGGAGAGAAGAAGAAGTATGGAGTGACAGCAGCCACTTTTTCTGCTCCCAGTCTACCTTGATCTATTTTGACATTTAAAGTCCCTCAGAGAGATAACAAATATTGTACAGGACAAATGTTAACCCAAATGACTGGCAGTTTGTTGACTTCATGCAACAGCTGATTCACACAGGCTTTTTAGCAGAACAATCTGTCATGCAGTGGATTCCAGGGTCACTGTGGCTTGAAAGGCAATGAAATAGCGAACAGACTGGGCAGAAGCGGCAGTGACGTGGTGCAATAAAACTGTGAGTTGACCCGCTAGGAGGCTAAGACATTGAATCAAAACTAGCATCCAAGAAAGATGGCTGGATACCTACACCAAATGTTCTCCCCTAAACTGGCTTCATCAACTCTCCAGAGGGAGACAGTGTGTCATATTCAGGCTATCCCCATGTGGGTTCCAGCGGTCCAACTGTGGGGGAAAACCAGAACAGACCCACTTCCTTCCCAACAGGCATGTTGTAGGAGTCCACTAATTAGGGGCTTCCTTTTCCCAATGTGGGTTCCTGGGTTCTATTATAGGGAAAATAAGAATAGACCCACTTCCTACCCAACAGGCATGTTGTAGGAGTCCACTAATTAGGGGCTTCCTTTTCCCAATGTGGGTTCCTGGGTCCTATTATAGGGAAAATAAGAATAGACCCACTTCCTACCCAACAGGCATGTTGTAGGAGTCCACTAATTAGGGGCTTCCTTTTCCCAATGTGGGTTCCTGGGTCCTATTATAGGGAAAATAAGAATAGACCCACTTCCTTCCCAACAGGCATGTTGTAGGAGTCCACTAATTAGGGGCTTCCTTTTCCCAATGTGGGTTCCTGGGTCCTATTATAGGGAAAATAAGAATAGACCCACTTCCTACCCAACAGGCATGTTGTAGGAGTCCACTAATTAGGGGCTTCCTTTTCCCCAATGTGGGTTTCCCTGGGTCCTATTATAGGGGAAAATAAGAAATAGCACCACTTCCTACCCAACAGGCATGTTGTAGGAGTCCACTAATTAGAGGCTTCCTTTTCCCAATGTGGGTTCTGGGTCCTATTATAGGGAAAATAAGAATAGACCCACTTCCTTTGCCAACAGGCATGTTGTAGGACTAATTAGGGGCTTCCTTTTCCCAATGTGGGTTCCTGGGTCCTATTATAGGGAAAATAAGAAAGACCCACTTCCTACCCCAACAGGCATGTTTGTAGGAGTCCACTAATTAGGGGCTTCCTTTCCCAATGTGGGTTCCTGGGTCCTATTATAGGGAAAATAAGAATAGACCCACTTCCTTCCCAACAGGCATGTTGTAGGATTTCACTAATTAAGGTTTCCTTTGCAGTGAAAGTGCATTGGCCTGAGAGGCAAGAAACCAACAGACTGTGTACATATAAGCTAGATCTGTAAAATGGACATGCATGCAAAACTCAAGTTCTGGAACAAGGGGGAAGATTAGAAGTGGAAAAAAACAACCAAAAATTCTTGCCAGAGTTTACAGCAGCCGAATGTGAAAAAAAAAATATTCAGACTAAGAACAGGACATAACAGACTTTGCCGACATAGGTTTTGACTAAGAACAGGACATAACAGACTTTGCCAACATAGGTTTTGACTAAGAACAGGACATAACAGACTTTGCCGACATAGGTTTTGACTGAGAACAGGACATAACAGACTTTGCCGACATAGCTTTTGACTGAGAACAGGACATAACAGACTTTGCCGACATAGGTTTTGACTGAGAACAGGACAAAACATACTTTGCCGACATAAGTTTTGACTAAGAACAGGACATAACAGACTTTGCTGACACAGGTTTCAGTTTTTCGGCATAGGAGATGTGTCCATGCAACTCCAGCACTGTGAGCTGTATGCTGTTGAGAGAGAAGCCATTTGGCTAGTTCCAACCTGAACTAAGGCAAAGCTGTACAGTACACAGGGGTATTTTAACTGTAAAATAGACTGAAGGATTAAGGAAATATGGAATAATGTGATTCCTGCTCCTACAGTAGAAGGAAGAAACCGTGCAACAGTGGCCTTGGTATTAATCTGCAGCCCGCAAAAAACGAGTTCAAATTCGTGTTGGGCTGATTTTTTTTGTTGTTCATGACCTTGGCATCCAAGTCCAACCCACCCTTAAATGATTAGCAAGTAATATCCTGGGAAGTAAAGGTGGCCGACGTGATACTGATCACATTACCCACCAAGTGCTGATTGGCATATAAAAATTTCTTCGTCTTCTTAACATTCACAGCTGGAAAATTCTGGTTGTCCAACTATGGACTTGGGTGTTGATACAGCCCTTTATTTTGCACATCTGGCTTTACTGTATGCAGACTGTCGGTTCCTTGCCTCTCTGGCAGATGCACTCAACTCTGAACTAGACACCCCTAGTTATTCACCCACTACAACGTGCTTGTTACAGGGCAGTGTATTCTTTGTTCTTCACAATGAAACCCTGAAACCCATATGGGGATGCCTTTTTTTGTGTGTGTGCAGACTGTTTGTTTCTCATCTCACAGGCAGATGCACTTTGACTTTGAAGGAAAACCCCTAATTAGTCATATTTTTTGTATGCAATGCTTGTTTTTCCCCCCACCTACCAAACAGGGCTCCGGAACCCACACAGGGAGTAAAAATAAGACTCTAGCATCAAATCCCCGATGCACCACCACCGTTAAATGGGTCTTTTACTTTTTTCTGCTCATACCATTGGCCATCTTGTTAGAGCAGCAAGATCAAATACCATCACAAGCACTACATCTCAGAAGATCAGCTACAAGAGCAATAGGACGGCTGTGGAAAATTTTGATCGACAACATTAAAGACACTTTATGCCTTCATGGCGTGACAATAGCCAGTAGCAGCCAGCGTGCACTGGATCGCAAATTATTCCTCCCCGCAACGCTTGACTGCAGAAGTGGTTTATGATGATGATGATGATAGAAGACCTCTATAAGGTATTCAGTTTTCATTCTACAAGAAAACATAAAATGACTGACCATATCCATCGGGTAATTCGACAGCATCATGTAACTGGGCCCGGCTGACATAATGTCTGTGGCGAGTGGATCGTCTCCTAGCAAACTCCTGCACTCCTGGTGTGGACTGCACACTGCTGCTCTCCCCTACAAGACTACCACCGACAGTATCACCACTTGGACCACTCCCATTGCTGATGCTATTTCTGTTGCTGTGGCTGATGTTGATGCTGTTACCAGACAGGTGGCTGTTGTCGCGGTTGTTGGATGAGACACTGGAAACTGGACTAACTATGCTCAAGGGTCTGCAGGTCTCTGCCGCTGGTCTGAGAGTAAATATCAATGAAACTATGGAATGATAACATAGTTACGATTGTCTATCTACTCAAGACAACTTATGCAAAAAATCTGTCACTAAAAGTTGAAACAAATCTTATTTGTCTTTTTACGCATTCACCGCCTGTACACTCTAGTGGAAAATTCTGGTTGTTTGTCCACTTCTGGACTTTGGTCTTGCTCCAGAACTGAAGCTTTACATAAGCATCCGTTGTTACAGAAGTAGCTTATCTGTATGCAGACTGTTGGTTTCTTGAATTAAAAAAATAATTTGTACATGTTATATAGAGCCGTCAGCGTCTGTGGCTTAGGCGTTGCGAACACACTTTGTAATGCGGGGGGTGCTGGGTTCGATCCTAGTTACTGGCCTTGTGCGCCTTGCATTGGATTCGACAGTTGTATCGGAAAGCCGACCCTCCAGAAAGCAATGACAAACTCCTAGATGTAAATATGCGACAGCCCCCCCCCCTTTCCAAAGGGGGGTTGGTTCTGCAACGTCCTGTAAAGGATATGCAACTAACTTTTTATATAGAGCCACAAGGGCAGCGAGGAAGAGGCCGGCCCAGAGGTAATTGGAGGCGAACTTTTGAGGCTGAACTTAAGGCTAGGTGAAGGACAAAACTGGAGATAGAGAAGATGGCTCCGGATGGAACTGAATGTTGACAGTGTGTCTCTGCCTTATGTGCCTCTGGGCGCCATGAGGACTGATTGACTGATACAGAGCCAGCCCTAACATATGGCTATGAATCCAAAACAATTCATTCAGTATACAAAATCTATTAATACTCAAAAATATGCTTCTACAGATAAAGTCAAGTAAAGAACCATCTTCCACTACTTCAGGCCTACTGGGCAGACAGAGCTAGGCCTATATTTTCTAGACCAGTCGGCACTCAGTAGGTCATGTGGTCAATGTCACACCAGACGTCTTGACTTTCCAGGACTTGACCTGGTACCCATTTAAGGCTGGGTCGACTGGGAGCCAGGATCATCTTCTACAGATGACTGCTAAAATAATTTTGAGCAGCCAACAGTTTTGTGAGTAGCCAAAATAAATGTTTTTACAGTCTTACTATCTTTTTTTGTTTCTGATTTTTACAGAGAAAAAGAAATTATGACAACTTATTGTCAAAATATTTTTTTTTTTACCAAAAAAAAACACTGTCTTTTATAAGCAGAGAAATGCTAGAACATGTTATGACAACTTGAAATATGTATTGAAAAAGAGATGGAGGAAGAAAGAGATGGAGGAAGAAAGAGATGGACATTAAGAGTAATCGAAACCTTTGCTAGAAAATCGGAAAAAATCGTCACGGTCAACCAGCATCCCCGAAGACAGAGCTTTAGGTTGTAATTGTGACTAGGTTATGTGCGCTATATTAAATGGCTATCAGAACTGCACACCACCAAGAGACTAGGAAGAGGGTCAGCAGACAAGCTGATATGCTGTTATCAATTTAGAACAGACAAGCTGATATGTTATTATCGATTCAGAACAGACAAGCGGATATGTTGTTATCAAGAACAGACAAGCCGATATGTTGTTATCGATTCAGAACAGACAAGCTGATATGCTGTTATCGATTCAGAACAGACAAGCTGATATGTTTTTATCGATCCAGAACAGACAAGCTGATATGTTGTTATCGATCCAGAACAGACAAGCTGATATGTTGTTATCGATCCAGAACAGACAAGCTGATATGCTGTTACTGATCCAGAACAGACAAGCTGATATGTTGTTATCGATCCAGAACAGACAAGCTGATATGTTGTTATCGATCCAGAACAGACAAGATGATATGTTATCGATCCAGAACAGACAAGCTGATATGCTGTTATCCATCCAGAACAGACAAGCTGATAAATGCTGTCTGAGATCACAGGAAGTGGGGAACTACGCCTGTTCAGGTCAGTCTGTAAGGCATTAAGATGTTCCTCTATTCCCTACCCACTTTTAACGTTCACAAACAAATATCTTGTGGTCGACATCTGCCATCTCATTACATACACCACAATCTCATGACATGTATTACAATCCCAAAACATACACCACAATCTCATGACATGTATTACAATCACATTACATACACCACAATCTCATTACATGTATTACAATCACATTACATATACAACAATTTTATTGCATCTATTACAATCACATTACATACACCACAATCTCATTACATCTTTTACAATCCCATTACATACACCACAATCTCATTACATCTATTACAATCCCATCCCATACACCACAATCTCATTAGATCTATTACAATACCATCACCTACAACACAATCACATTACATCTATTACAATCCCATTACATACACCACAATCTTATTACATCTTTTACAATTGCATTACATATACCACAATCTCATTATATCTATTACAATCTCATTACATCTAATACAATCCCATTACATACACCCCAATTTCATTCCATCTATTACAATCCCAATACATACACCACAATCTCATTATATGTATTACAATCACATTATATTCACCACAATTTTATTGCATCTATTACAATCACATTACATACACCACAATCTCATTACATCACATTACATACACCACAATTTTATTGTATCTATTACAATCACATTACATACACCACAATCTCATTACATCTATTACAATACCATCACATACAACACAATAACATTACATCTTTTACAATCGCATTACATATACCCCAATCTCATTACATCTATTACAATCTTATTACATCTAATACAATCTCATTACATACACCCCAATTTCATTCCATCTATTACCATCCCAATACATACACCACAATCTCATTACATGTATTACAATCACATTACATACACCACAATTTTATTGCATCTATTACAATCACATTCCATCTATTACCATCCCAATACATACACCACAATCTCATTACATGTATTACAATCACATTACATACACCACAATTTTATTGCATCTATTACAATCACATTACATACACCACAATCTCATTACATCTATTACAATCCCATCACATACATCACAATCTCATTAGATCTATTACAATCCCATTACATACACCACAATCTCATTACATCTTTTACAATCACATTACATATACCACAGTCTCATAATATCTATTACAATCTCATTACATCTAATACAATCCCATTACATACACCCCAATTTCATTCCATCTATTACCATCCCAATACATACACCACAATCTCATTACATCTATTACAATCCTAATACATACACCACAATATCATTACATCTATTACAATCCCAATACATACACCACAATCTCATTACATCTATTTCAATCCCATTACATACACCCCCATATCATTCCATCTATTACAATCCCATTACATACACCACAATCTCATTACATCACATTACATACACCACAATTTTATTGCATCTATTACAATCACATTACATACACCACAATCTCATTACATCTATTACAATACCAGCACATACAACACAATCACATTACATCTTTTACAATCGCATTACATATACCACAATCTCATTATATCTATTACAATCTTATTACATCTAATACAATCCCATTACATGCACCCCAATTTCATTCCATCTATTACCATCCCAATACATACACCACAATCTCATTACACGTATTACAATCACATTACATACACCACAATTTTATTGCATCTTTTACAATCACATTACATACACCACAATCTCATTACATCTATTAAAATCCCATCACATACATCACAATCTTATTAGATCTATTACAATCCCATTACATACACCACAATCTCATTACATCTTTTACAATCGCATTACATATACCACAGTCTCAAAATATCTATTACAATCTCATTACATCTAATACAATCCCATTACATACACCCCAATTTCATTCCACCTATTACAATCCCAATACATACACCACAATCTCATTACATCTATTACAATCCTAATACATACACCACAATATCATTACATCTATTACAATCCCAATACATACACCACAATCTCATTACATCTATTTCAATCCCATTACATACACCCCCATATCATTCCATCTATTACAATCCCATTACATACACCACAATCTCATTACATCACATTACATACACCACAATTTTATTGCATCTATTACAATCACATTACATACACCACAATCTCATTACATCTATTACAATCTCATTACATACACCACAATCTCATTACAGAAACCATGACTGCATCATAAGCACAACAATTTCATTATATACATCATAATTTCATCATAAACACCACAATCTAAGTACACATTACAATCTCAGTACTTATACCAGAATCTCACTACACACACCATAATCTTAGTACTTACACCACAATCCTATGACATAGACCACAATCTTATTACAATCACCAAATGACATATGCCACAATCTCAAAACATATATGACATTTTCACTACATTCATGACAATCCCATTGTGTTCATGATAATCTCATTACATATGCCAGATGACACATACCACAGCTGCATGACATCCATCCCAAACTGATGAAACATCCAACAGTTTTAGAACATCTACCACTAAAATTTTACCTTATAGGTCGCTCCCATTGTGTGGTTCTTGTCATGTGATTGATATAATGTAAGCGTCCATTGGCTGTCCGTCGCTCTTCCCACCTGTGAGATATTAGAGAGGGTTTAAAAATGTGGGAAGGGGGAAGGGGGGGGGGGGGGGGGGGGGGGGGGGTTAGCAACAAAATACTACTGAATGTAAGAGTCTCATCTTACACATACTATTTTTGGGAGGAAATCCAGAAACCATGAGTTGTAAACCCTTTGGCTTGGTACTATGAATATTGCAACCATATGGCTTTGGTTCCATAATAGATACCGTAAATCTGGGAAACATGTGTCTTTTATGTCTACTCCCAAGCGTGAACTCAGACCACAAGGAGTTCATCACCCAGTCACTGCGCAGCTATTTTAACCAACTTAGCCAACATGCTAAGAACAAGATGGAAGGATAACATCAGAGAAACTCTACAACAGCACGATGTGCCTATGGTCGAGGCGGCCAGAAGAGCTAGAAACAGAACCTTATATCTCCCTCGACACCCACAGCGGTAAAAGAGGAAGTGAAGAAGAAGAAGAAGAAGAAGCCAACGTGCTGGGCTACACATAAAATGGGCAGCGTAGCAGACAAACAGTATGTTAAGCAGCAGCAACACAGACAGGATGGCAGCTAGGAATCAGCAGAAGGTGAGGAATGAGAGAACGTAAATAAATGAAAGAAAGGGATACACAAGTTAGAAATCCCTGTGTGGGTTCCAGGGCCCTATTTTAAGGAAAACAAAAATAGACTGACTGCCTACCCAAAAGAGTCAACTAATTGGGAGCTTCCTTCGAAGTCGAAGTGCATCTGCCTGAGAGGCAAGGAACCAGCAGTCTGCATACAAATGAGTCAGATCTTTAAAATAGGTGCACACACAACACTCAGGTTCTGGAACAGGACTGCAGTCAAGAAGTGGATGAACAACCAGAACTTTCTGCCAGAGTTTACAGCTGGGGAACGCTAAGAAGAAGAAGAAAAGTGAGAAAGAACAGGGAGAAAACAAGAACAAGACAAATAAAACATAAAGAGAAAGAGAATGAAACTGAGAATAGTAGACAGAAGGTAAGAAAAAGTTGGGGGGAAATACAATCAAAAAAGAGGAACCTAGAGAGAATGAGAGAGAAAATGAAAGAGAAAAGAAATAGATAACTAAAGAGAGAGGAATAGAGAGACATAAGGATGAGAATGACAGAGGCATGAAAAGAGAACAAGAGAGAGAGAGAGAGAGAGAGAGAGAGAGAGAGAGAGAGAGAGAGAGAGAGAGAGAGAGAAGGGGAGTGCCAAGGTGCATACAGTCTTTGTAAACAAAGGGGGAGAAGGTGAAGCTGATAATAATACTCTTGCAGTCAGGGAACCGTACTACTCATAAACAGTACGGCTCTGCACTTTCAGGCAAGACTCTGCCACACATTCAGTTTTACTCCACTTCGCAGCTGAACGGAATTAACTGCCCAGACAGATCCAGTCACGTGCAAGAAGAGTCTTGCTCCAAGTCTGCACTGTGCTCTCCATATGCTTCCTTCCATTAGAATATGTTATATATGAGCATTATAGTATTTTCAACTTCATTCTCTTTTTTTTTCATCTAAAAAAAATGAACTTTTGCTTCCCTCCCAATCAATTCTTTTCCTCGTCTCGTCTCTCTTGTTTTCTGAGTGCTTATGAGTAAATAAAAATATAGGCCTTACACAGTTGATGTCTCAAAGGTGTGTAAGGGCCCCTTATTGACAGAGAGACAGACAGACAGGTAGAAAGCTAGGTAGTCTGCAGGTATGCACCCAGACAGATAAATAAGATCGAGGAAGGACAGATTGATAGCGTATACACACATGCCACAAGTGCAGCACATATTTCTAGAAATTTTTAACAAAACCAGAAAGAGCTGTACATGACAATAAAGAGAACTGAAACCCCAGCCCTTCAACCACGCCCTGAATTTCAAATTAAATTGAACACCATGGGGGAGATAACCAGCTGTCTTGTCAGCCTCCCTGGGGTAAGATTAAACTTGAGCTATTTCAGCTGCATCTTTCTTTTAAAAAAAAAACAGGTTTTGGTTAGGTAAAAAGAATTTCAGCAGGTACGTCTTTCCATGACTTAATCAAGCATGGCCTGGGTGAAACTGTTTTGGCAATGGGGCTTGCTCTCACTGGTTGCAGAGTATAAGCATGTTCTTAGTGGAAGCAGCAAGAAAAGGGCTGACCTATTCATGTCCTCTCCACCTTTTCCTCTCAGACAATTTCTAGAAAGTTCTGAAAATATGCTTGCCACCTTCATTTATGTTAGTTGCGTATCCTTTAAACAACGCTGCAGAACCAACCGTTTTTTTTTTTTTTTTTTAACTGTTGTGGTTTTTCTAGGCAAATGTTACGTTCAGTAGTTTGCAGGTGCTTCTGAACAGTCAGATCTTGGTACCACTGTCAAAACCAATGCACGATAAATCGCCTACAGCTGGGATAGAACCTGGCATTCCGGCATTTGGAAGGCACAGATGCGGACCATTTACCTATGTCTTGTATATTATTAGGGGACTTCTGCTTCAATACGGTGAATAGCCGGCTTACCAGTGACACCCTGAAAAGTTGTTTGTTTCCATACAGGCACTGCTGATTCAAATTCCTCATTTCTGGATTGGAAGTCCAAAGGTTCTGCTGGCCAGCATTTAGTTTGTGTGGGCGAGCTTCATGATCTTCACTTTTGCTGACATATTTTTCATCAGTTTTCATATGGGACTGTAAAGGACACTTTGTGTGATTTCCACTGGCACAGGAAGACTTACTGGGCAACCCATTCAGCTCATTATTATTATTCTATTATTAAGTACTTTATCAAGGCTTAGCCTTCTTGATCTACCTCCGGGCATGCCTTGCATAATGGTCTCAACCAACTGGCACTTAGGTTTCCCTTTTTTTTTTCCATCGAACACCGGCTGTTAATTCCGGTGGAAGGTCCCGGTTAATCGTCCACTTGGACTTTTGGCTTTCACCTGGACCTGATTTTTGCGTGTACAACCGTTTTTCATTTCCCTGCCTCTTGGGCAGCTGTACGCCGACTTCGAAGGAAGACGTCAGGCCTATTTCTAGGGTGACTGTGGCCATTGTTTTTGTGTGGGTCGAGACGTTGCCTGATTTGTGTGGTGTCCATTTTGTCGCCTTCGCCGCAGGTATTGCCCCCCGGAGTACCCCTTTGGGGTAGCCCCCTGTGGAACAGTTGGCCCTCAAGGGAAGGCAGGGGCAGATCATGGGCATTCCCCGCCATCCAAGGAGGCTTCCATGCATGCAGAGCCGGCACATATCGCTCTGTTTCTGGGCTCACCCAAGGAATCGTCACGTCCTGCACATGCCTGCTTAACCTCACAACCGTATCAGGCCTCCCGCTCGACAGGGGTTGCGCCCTCTGGAAGTCTGCGGGGAGCAGCCTTTGGGTTTTGGACTTTTGTGACCACACAGATAGGTACGTTAGCCCGACAGAATTTCACATCCTGAATCAGGCATATCGTTGTCAGTTTTTCCCAACACTCGGGCAAGTGAGGTCTTTGGGTGTGTGTATTCGGTCTCTTTTCAGTTCAGTGCAAATTTTGATGGTCAGATTTTGATCCGTATGATCTAGTTTTGTCGGACATTTAGGCTTAGCCATCTGATGGATGGTTGCCGTTGTGGTGTACCCCAGCGCGGTGACGACGACACTGAGGGTTAACCGAGGATGTACGTGAGTGGCCAGCCTATGGATGGTTTTGTCGTGGTGCACCTCAGCGCGGTGACGACGACACTGAGGGCCAACCAGGGATGCACAAGGATGGCCAGCCCATGGATGGTTGCTGTTGTGTTGCCCCTCAGCGCGCGGTGACGACGACACTGAGAATTAACAGAGGATGTGCAGTGAGCAATGTTCTCTATACTCAGCAGTCTTTTAACCAAGAGTTGTAATTTTAGCTGTATGTTTGTCAACCCTACTCATGTTCCTAATGAGTTTTGATAACGTTTCACCCAAGCGTTTGGGGGCGGGCTGATGAGAGCCACAAGGACACATCACCTCTGGGGGCCGCCAAACTCCGAGATCCCCTGACAGCTCTGTTAATGCTCATTTGAGACATTATCCGTGGCGCACGACGAGGACGTGCTGTAGGGGTCTTGCGTGAGGATCTGTACAACCAGGATAGTGAAGGACTGGCGCCCGAGTGACGTACGGAGTATCTCCTTATACACATCATGATGGACTTAACTTCCCCTCACGCCTGTGACATAGATCACCGCGCCACTGGCACTTAGGTGACTGTGGCCCCCTGCCAACAATATATTTACCGGCCAACCTGGCAGAGTCATGATCACTTAAATTAATGGCACAGGGCCATCTCCTAATGCGACATGTTCAAGAATAAACCTACCAATTACTGCAACAAGATTCCCAGGGGTTAAATATTCTTCTCAGATTATGCCTGTGTTACTTCAGGTGCCATCGTGGTTAGACGCTCACCGGCCGATCCGCAGGTTTTGAATTCAAATCCGTATAGAAAGGAATTTTTTTTTTCAACTGAGCTTGGCTCTCAGGTCTTTTCTGGTTAAAACTTTTTCTTGTTCTTTTTCTTAACCATTCTAAGCCCTTGAGGCTCACTGGTGCCGTTATCAGCCTCCCACATTAATTTCTCTGAACTAGTCTTCTCTTTCCTGCTGGTGACACCAAGTGTTTGCATGTCTGAAAATTATCTCTGAATCGTCTTCTTGGTCTTAATTGTGGTCTTTGACCATCCAACTGCCTTGTGTACACATGATTCTGAATGCACAAAGGAGGGGAAGAAGGAGGACAAGGGAGGAGCAGGAGGGGGCAAGAGAAGTAGGACGAAAAAAGTTATGTTATATGCCCTTGTATTACGTCAGGCCACCTAGGAAACAGGTGAACCACTCGAGGTTTGACATTTCCAAGCAGCTCAAGGGAAAGAAATCTCAGGCTATGATTTGTTAGCAACACACATTACTACTTTATGACCGGATTTTGTTGTTTGGATATGGTGTAAAGCAAGTTCTGTCAAGCATTTCACCTGACAATCATATTCTGTAAAATATGTTTTCATCTGAGCACTTAGGTTCTGTAAAACATGTTTTCATCTGAGGACTTAGTTTCTGTAAAATATGTTATCATCTGAACACCCACATTGTGTAAAATATGTTTTTATCTGAGCATCCAGGCTCTGTAATAATTTAATCTCAGCACACATTGTTTTTAAAGTGTGTCTTTATCTCAGCACCTAAGTTCTGTAAAGTGTTTTCATCTGAATGCCTGCGTTCTGTGAAGCATGTTTTCCTCTTAGCACCTACACTCTGTAAAGCATGTTTTCCTCTTAGCACCTATGTTCTGTGAAGCATGTTTTCCTCTTAGCACCTATGTTCTGTGAAGCATGTTTTCCTCTTAGCACCTATGTTCTGTAAAGCATGTTTTCCTCTGAGCACCTACGTTCTATGAAGCATGTTTTCCTTTGAGCACCTACTTTCTGTAAAGCATGTTTTCCTCTTAGCACCTAAGTTCTGTAAAGCATGTTTTCCTCTGAGCACCTACGTTCTGTAAAGCATGTTTTCCTCTTAGCACCTATGCTCTGTGAAGTACATTTTCCTCTCAACATCTATGTTCTGTGAAGCGTGTTTTTTCCCTGAGCGCCTCTGTTCTGTTGTTTCATTTGTGCACATTCGAGCCTGTGAATGTCTGGAATCTACAAACGATAGCAGCTTCTGCCTGCCTGATGACCTTTTGTCAAGATGCTTGGGAGGTTGCTGTGTTGCTCCAAGTGGTTCTAAGCCACTCTTATGTCAGCTCCCCCCAAGGGCAGAGATCAGACAAATAGCACCAGCAATCACCTGTATTTTTTTTATAAGCTTTTATTAGGTTCACCTTTGTATTTTTTCTATCCTGGGTGTGTGGCTCACTGGTGGTTTGGGTTCCGCCTGTTATAAATATCTTCTGCTAACGTGGTTTATGGCCATAATGGATAGGGGATTTGGCAATCAAAACTTTGATACGGGTTCAATCCCATATTTTTCAAGTATTAATCATTTATGAACAAATAGGACGACTCTAGCCACACTAAACTGGTAGCAGTGGCACATTTAAAGGAAAGATTTCACTGGGGAATCAAAACAGTGGAATGGGTTCAATCATAAATTTTATAAGGATTATTTATTTGTTTACACACACGAGAAAATGGGACTACTCCAGCCCCGGTAAACTGGTAGCAGAGATTTCTATGATGGACATTTTTAGAGGAAAGATGTCTTCTTCTTCTTCTGCATTCATCCTTCAGAGGAAGAATGGCAGGCTGTGTTGTAGTTTACATCTAGGCTGTGATATCGCCCCTTTCAGCCCAATACATCCAAATTTAGCAAACTCATAATTAGTCACATTTTACAATTATGCCTGATAGGGGCACTAGATTTTTTGTGGGGTCCCAAAATATGGGGTCCCAGAAACCCAGGCGAGGAATAAAGGTTACCGGTGTGCTGAGTTCAGATATGGAAACTGGAATAACATAGGCAGGGAGAATTTAAGATAAAGACAGGAAGAATTTTTTTTTTTACTGACGGAGCCTTGAAAACTATTGAAAAAAGTTATATACAGTGAAGTCCATAAAAGAAAGAATAAAAGAAAGAAATATATATGAAAGAAATAAATAGCAAAGAAAGAAAGAAAGTAAAGAAATAAAAACAGAGAAGAATGAAAATGACGACAAAGAAAACGGGGAAAAACAAAGAAATAAGCAGCATCAAGAGGAAATGAAGAAGAAAAGAAATAAAAATACATTAAGAAATAAACCCCCCCCCCCCCCCCCCCCCCCCACCCCAATGAAAAAAAAGAATGAAAGAAACACAAGAAAGAAAGAAAGAAAGAAAGAAAGAAAGAAAGAAAGAAAGAAAGAAAGAAAGAAAGAAAGAAAGAAAGAAAGAAAGAAAGAAAGAAAGAAAGAAAGAAAGAAAGAAAGAAAGACAGAAAGACAGACAGACAGACAGACAGGAGGAAAATAAAAAAATAGGAACAGGAACACGCACAAAAAGAAGAAAAGAAATAAAACACTCAAAGAAATAAAATGGAAAAGAAAGAAAGAAAGAAAGAAAGAAAGAAAGAAAGAAAAAGAAAGAAAGAAAGAAAGAAAGGAAAAAATAAGGCTTCTCTTTTCTTCTTCTTCTTCGCGTTCACCAGCTATAAACTGTGGCGGAAAGTTCTGGTTGTTCATCCACTTTTGGACTGCAGTCCTTTTCCAGAACTTGAGTGTTGCATGTGCATCCGTTTTATAGATCTGACTATTTATGGCTTCTTACCTTCAAGAAGCCTTTACAATGCTGTGGCTTGCACACTTATCTGATGACTCTTTTTCTCATTGGGCATCCCCATGCGTGCTCAGTCCTCCGATGCAGCAGCCACTCCAAGGTATGTCTACTAATTGTTCCCATGAAGAGTTGGTTATAGTATTTCCTGTCTTCACCTCCAAGATGGCATATTCATGCTCCAACAAGCTTAACTCCTCGGTCAGGCATTTGTGTTGGCGTCAGAGATTCGTCATTATCCCCCAAACCAAAACTTTTATTGATCACAGCCAGTCAAACTGGTACCAGAAAATGTTCTTCAAGTAAACATGGCCAACATCATTCAGTATTTAAGTCTTGGGGATCTGCTATTGTATAGAAAGATGAAGTATCTATTGTGACTTCAAGGCCGTTACAGACATTCGTAGGCAGAAGCAGGCAGCCAAGCAGTTATGTTAAATTACAAAAATCTACTCACCCCTCTGGCAGCTCGTTAGGATCATATGGTATGGACGGAGAGTGCATTCCAGTTCCCGCAGGACTGGTCACAGGAGTTCCTCTGTCACGTGATATAAGGCTGATGACAATCTGCCCGCGGACTGCATCCGTGTCTTCTGGATTCTGCCGCTGCAGGTCAAGTCTTTGAACTGAAACAGACATAAGGGGCAGACTAAAACGCCGAGTTTCTAGTAACTGCATGCCATTCTCATTTTCTGCGGTTTGTGGTTCATCTGACATGTTGTATCTGCTGCTGTTGATGCTGGTGGATGTGCTGCTGGTGGTGGCGGCAGTGGGGATGACTGCGCCAAGGGAAGTACTGGAAGAGGTTCTCAAGCCGGTGGTTACTGTGTTGGTTAGGCTGGTTAGAGGTCGGTAGGCCAGGATCTGAGTGGATGCCGCAGCCCAGGTGTTATTTCGTCGGTAGTAAGGAGGTGGCATGCTGCGAGATGCCAACTGTGTAGGACTCATCACTGATGACTTGACATGAGGCGGGTAAGCTGGAAGTGATCTGGATGAATGAAGCTGGGCATGAGATGCAAAATTAACGGGGCGAACCGGCGGTGTACCAACAATGTCATCGTCAAGGTCGAGTTCATCGCCTGTGCTACATGACCTGCTTGATGCTGTTCGACATGCTGGAGTCTGCACAACGCTGGTTGTCACAAAGATACCATTATGGCTGCTCTTACAAGATACTGGACTGGCATCTCCATTGTCGCTCTCTGAGGACGTAGTACCTCGAGAAGCTTCCCATGAGATAAATCTCATGGGGCGAACTGGTAGTCTGCGAACATTGTCAGTATCTTGGTCGAATTCACTGCCAGTGCTGCATGATCCGCTTGACACTGACCGACATACCGGTGTCCGAACCACACTGGTCGTCACAAAGATACCGTTAGGGCTGGTCTTACAGGATACTGGACTGGCATCTCTATTGTCACTCTCCGACGAAGCAGCCTCTCCAGAAGCTTCTGGCGAGGCAACTTGCATCTCACGTGCACTGGACAGGGACAAAAGTGGACTGTCGAGCTCAACAAGCTGATCGTTGATGCGGCTAACTGGCTGAGGTTACATGGCACAGAAGCTATCAGCCGGAGATTGGTTCGGAACCTGGGACGTGACTGAGAGTCAAGTACAGGCTGGTTGGTGTCAGGAAGTTGGGGACTTGCAGTCTCAACAAGAGACCCTTCTATAACCATGCTGAGTATCAGGACAAAGCTTGTGCACTGAAGGAACTTGTGTCAGTTAACATCAATATACTTCACTAGATAATGCTAAGTAGCCTTGTTTACCACAATTACCATAAGGACAACCAAGTTATTTTTTTGTTAGTGATTTTGAGTATTTGTGTAGTATTGTTTGATTTGTATGTGCTGATGAAGGCTCCATAGCCGCAACGTTCACGTTTTGTTTGTATTTGTTATAATGTGAAGCTTGCTAATAAACTTTTCGTTCGGTTTTATATCTTTTCAAGTTATTTTTTAGAAACAGCACTTTTATCATAATCTGGAATGAATTTGTAGTGAGAGAGAATAGAAAGTATATTTAGAAAAAAAAACAATAGTACAACTTGATAGGTCATGTAAAACCAAAGTCGAGAAGTGGACAAACAACCAGAACTTTCTGCTGGAGTTTACAACCGGTGAATGTGAAGAAGAAGAAGAAGAAGAAGAAGAAGAAGAAGAAGAAGAAGAAGAAAAGAAGAAGATCTTTTCCTTATCTTGTCTCTACAAACACTTCACAGATTATTTTATCCCTACAAATACTTCACAGATTATTTTATCCCAACAAACAATCCACAGATTATTTTATCCCTACAAACACTTCACAGATTATTTTATCCCTACAAACACTTCACAGATTAATCAAAAGCAGATAAGATACACACAAAAATGGCAAGACATGGATGTTTTTTAATGATAAAATTAACGGATTATCATATCTTCACACAACGCTTGTACACAAACGTCACAGTGTGGAGGTAATCTAATTACCACTAGTCGACATAAACTTCACAAATTATCACATTATTTCCACCTAAAACATCACAGGAAATTAAGGTCGGCAGCAGAGTCTTGAGTGTGGATCATCAACCACCTATAAACCCGGTACTCACAACTCACATCACAAGAGAACAGGTATCCTCCCAAGAAAAGCTGCAGCAATAACCGCTTAGGTTTACCTAACATCTTTCTTATTCATTGCACAAACGCAGCACGAAAGAAAGTAGCTAGATACCACACTCACGGCCAGACCCTGTTTAACATCTGCAAACAAAACGCAATCAGACACTTAGTGTCTTTATTTGCGTAATGTGTTTCTCCTCCTCTTCCTTGTCTGCATGGTTTTCTTTTTTCATTGATAACTGACTGCCAGGTGTGGACAGCTTCCCCTGAAAGGCAAGTGTAGTATTGACTACAGCTGAATTTGAACCTGCTCTGCTGGTGAGGTTGCGGTAGAAGGCACCAGCTACCTGAGTTTTTATTACCTGAGAGGAATTCCAGCACTCACATACATCACATCCAGGTAGACTGACTTTAATGGAAACAATACCATGAAGAAGAAATATACACATAAATGCAAGAGTGCTGATAAAAACAAAACACTGGGTGTTAGGGTAACCTAAGCCTCCTTACAAATTGGGGAGGAGGGGGGGAGAACGGATAAAGGATAGGGGGGGGGGGGTGTCAAGAGGTATGTCTAGTACAAGTGTTTATTGATAATATTCAGGCCCTTTTTCATATGTTGTATTCCAGGTTTTACCTGGCTATCTGTAGACATCACTGTAATGTCTCTAGAGACTAAATGAGGTATCTGGGACCTGCCTTGCTGATCTGCCTTCCGGATCGAAATCCCGGAGGGGACAAAATGTACAATCGATTAATAATAATAATATCAAATTATGTGAAAGAGCCAGACAGAGATCAACTTTAGCCTACCACGATAGTACTCACATTTAGATCGCAAACCTACCTGTGCAGTTTGTGTGTCTGTGTCTGTGTGTGTATAATATAATGAAATTCCCCTTTTCTGAAATTTAAAAAGACCAGGAAACGAGAAACGCTGTGTGCGGTAAAGTGATGTAGATGCGATCAGCATTCATATTTCCTCTAATCTCATCTGGAGACAATCAACCACAAGTGCCGTGTCAAGGTAACAAAGGTGAAGCTGCCTACAGGTAATGTTGGTGTACATACTAAGGCAGTGCTGGCGCACGGGCCAGACATGCAGGTAACGGATTTCCTCCCCGTTCACACTCTCTATTGTCAAAGGAAAATGCATTATTTTATTATTTATTACTACTGATTAATATTTAATAAACATGTGTAACTCTGTTTACGTCTTGGATATAGTCGGGGAAAAAACGTTCATTAGATGCTTACTGCGCTCATGAAAGATACCAGTTACTAGTGTTATCATGCTAGCCGCATGCACATACTCTCAACAGCAAAGAAACGAGGAGGAAAATATCACATAAAAACCTCTCCAGTGTAATCGCTTAGTGCTATGCTTACAGTGTGAACTGATCAAGCCTTTCACCACTGTGCTGGTGGTACTGTTTTATGGTTGTGGAGAGGGAGGGAGGAAGGGATGGAGAGAGAGAGATAGGCGAGAACCATCCCATCAACACGGTGTGTCATTACAGGTTAACAAGGGTCTCACATTCTATTCTTCCATTCGTTTCTACGCTGTGTAGTTTTGTCGAAGGCGTTCCAGTCCAGCACAGCAGGACTCTCAAATCAACACTTGTCTTACAGTTTCTTCTGACGTCCTCGTTTCTTCAATCCATTTGTTTGACAGTGGTCTTTTTTCTTCTTCTTCGCGTTCACCAGTGCTGTAAGCTCTGGCAGAAAGTTCTGGTTGCTCATCCATTTCTGGACTTTAGCCTTGTTTCATAAATTGACTTTTGTGAGCGCATCTATTTTAAAGTTCTGGCTTATTGTTACGACACATTCTGTGATTTCAGAATGTGTCTTTCTTCAACCTACTTTTTTCTATTGTTTTTAAAGTATACAGAAAAATATGGTTTTAGATATATCCTAAATCTAAGTAAGGCGACCAGAACAAACCTATTTAATTCTCCTGGACTGCTGGTGATATCAAACACTGAGACTTTTTCACAGATGTAAAGTGTTAAGGTACAGATAAGACTGAGCAGGTAGACTTAGTGGCACCAGTGAAATTAAAAGCTCAGACCTAGTGGCTGGAGATTTTGCTTGCAGAACTGAGGTGTCAGATAATTATCTCCTAGCCAGACCTTTAGGAGCAGATAACCCAGGCTAATTGTGATTATCTCCCCCTGAAGTTACCACACTTGAGTGCAGGTCAGATAGCCAGTACTGACATGGTCTGCTGGAGGTGTTAGCAGACAGAACCTGGCAGGTTGAAGAAGGGGAGGAAGGTGTGACTTTGCTTATGAGCTCTGGCCAACTTTATAGACTAGGATAATGTAACCAAACAAGTGTTGCACAGTCCTGACTGACAGTGAACAGACTTACCCACGGTGAGGAGCTGTGACATCCTTGAAGGAGAGTGGTTTTAGGAGTAATGTAGGAGGAGCTTAAAAGAAGTTATAAAAGGGTGGACTCCATGGCTGGGGAGTGAGACTCTGTGCTATGAGCACATGCCATATCTTGGGCTTGAGATAGAACTTTTGGCATTGTGTTTTCATTTTCCAGGTAAGCGTAACTATTTCCAACCTTTATTTCATGATAGAAATCTCAACTGCCTCTTTGCTTAAGTGTGTATCTTCATCACTTTGTAGTACTCCTTAGTAGACATTTCTCCATTCTTGTAGGGCACTGTCAAATTGCTTTATATTATAATTGATATTGTCATGAATGTTTTTCGTGCACATGTGTTTCAATGTTCAATAACTTAAATGTTGATGTTACCATTGAAATTCCATGAACTAGCATTTTTCTGAAATCACAAGCGTGAAGATAATTTTGGCAGTCTTTTCACGTATGGTTAATTTGAATCTATATTACATACAGCTAACACACTGAAATGTGTTTAACTCCCAGGAGGCTAATGCGGAGATTGATCCCTGATATTTGTTATTTGATTACGCCCTGGAAATATTATCATTCTGGACGCGCCCATTATTCCAAGCATTAATTCAGGACTCATTCTGTCACACTGATTGTCATTTTAAGTCTGCATGAGAGATGACATCAGACATAGAAAACTCAACTATGATTACACGACAAGAGTAGAGAAAGGCAGGAAATGTAATGACTACAATGTGAGATGAAGTCCTTCCAGACTGGACAAGAGAGAATGTGAATATGAGGGAGAGATGAAATGTTTTATTAGAATAGAAATGTTTGGTGTTATTAGAATAGACATGTTTGGTGTAAGTCTAGATGCTACACATATGCGCTTGTTTCTTTACCACAGTTCCCACACTGGGCAGGGACAAGTCGGCATCCATTTTTTGCCGACCGTCTGCATGTAACGACCTGCTTAAAGCAGCAAGGACGACAAACTGGAAAAGGATAGACAGGGTCTCAAACTGAGAACTGTCGAAGGTTTATTTTCTCCAATTTTATGAGTTATGTTTAACTTTCATATGAATTAATTTCATCAGTAACACCATCTTCACTCTACTAGCCTAAACACGTATATTTTTTTTTAAGATTTATTCAATAAATCTTGTTCATGTTGTTATAAAATAGTTGAGTAAATTGTGTACTTAGGTTCAAGTGTCTTTGTGCATACTAGTTTACTTCAGCTCAGAAATATGTAAATCACTTGATGGGAGTTTTGTTACAAATTAATGCCAGGAGAGGAGAAAGTTGGAGGGTTTAACTGTGTATCTTGATAATATCTTATTGGGTTCATCTTGATATCTATCTATCCCTTCTCCTACTCCTGTGGATACAAGTACAGCAACTTTCGTTTAATGGAACGAGCCACTCACTGTTTTCTTGGCTATCCAGGACTGTCTAGGATTAACATAGTTTAGATATTAGTCCAGTTTCTCACATGGGTGGGCACGGTTAGGGTTCAAACCCACGCACTCACTATATAAGTGTATTTACCCACGTGGGTTGGCGACACTTATCTATAAGCAGACTACTGGTTACTTGTCTCTCAGACTTCAATGGAAACACCCCCCTAATAAGTCACCTTTCCCATCATCCCTGTTAGGGAATCTGTGACTTAAACGCTTCTGGTTGCTGGTTCGATCCCAGCTGCAGGTAACTGACAGCACTTCATGGCACAGACTTTCCTCACCATGTAACATTACCTAAGAGAGCAGCAGGTACACTGAAGCCAACCCTGACTGTGGAGACGGCAAACAAGCAGTAATTTCATTTAAAGAGAGAGAGTATAAACTGCCTTTCAAACATGGAATCACAGTGGCCTGTAGGTGGCTAAGCCTGCCTGTCAAGTGAATGATTCGGGTTCACTCCAAGCAGAGTCCGGATTATCTGTCTCCGACCCAGCCTTATAATGCTGGTTTCAGGCAATGTTTTAGGAGTTATGCCTTTTTTAAAACTCACTGCTTCTTCTTCCTCCTCTGTATGTGTGTGTCTGTGCACGCACACAAGCACTGCTTTTATGTTTGTACTCAGTGCTAAATTTGCGAGTGAAAATAAAGTATATTTTCTCTCTCTCTCTCTCTCTTAATTCTTTGCATCCACTTTTTCTTTCTTTGCAGCCTCTCTCTCTCTCTCACTTTCCTAGTTTGCACCTATCTATCTCTCCCTTTATTCTTTGCATCCTTTATCATCCCTCTCTCTATGCAGTTTCTCTCCCTTACATAGTCTGCACTTCTCTCTCGCCATTCTTTGCACCCCTCCCCCCCCCCCATCTCTCTCTCTCTCTCTCTCTCTTTCTCCTGAACCCTTTAAAAAAAAGTTTGCTCATTCCTCTTTACACCCTGTCTCCCCTCTTTGCAGTGTCTCTCTCCCATCTCACATTTTCACCCCCTCCCTCTCACTCTCTTACACGCTCTCCAGTTATTTTGTATCGAATCTATTTCACCTCTCCCCTTTTACCGCCAGCTGTTTCCATTAACCTGTTATACTGCATGAACGTCTTCTGTGTGGATGCTGGCATGCATGCTGCCTGAAATTGGCAGCTACACATTATACAGCTCTGATTTAGTCAATGCCTGGTTCCCAGTTTCAGCACTACAGCCATCATTAACAGCAGCTGTCATATCCGCTAAAGACTGGGGGTGGGGGTGGCAGTCACCTTAAGCTCCCTCCACCAATAATGTTTAATTGATCAGGGGGGGGGGGGGGGGGGGGGGGGGAGGATAAGGCATAGACATCCCCCTCCCCCCAATAATTTTTAGGAAGAGGGGGCATAAGGTATAGACCCCCTCTCCCACACCAAAAATTAGCGAGGGATCTAAGTGGTCCCTATAACCACACACAGACATTCTCAGTTTAAGTCTTAGAAAATTATAATGGGGCTGAACCCCCCCCCCCATCCGTTTCAAAGTTCTTCTTCTTCCCGCTTACTGTATGTAAACTGGGCAGAAAGTTCTGGCTGTTCGTCCATCTCTGGACATTAGCCTTGTTCCGGAACCTGAATGTTGTGTGCACATCCATTTTACAGATCTAACTTACTTGTATGCAGATTGTTGGTTCCTCAGGCAGACGCACTCCAACTTCGAAGGAAGCTCTCAATTAGTTAACTTTTACCACATGCTTGTTGGGAAGGCAGTGGGTCTATTCTATTTTCCCCAAAATGGGGTCCCGGAACCCACACGAGGGGGGGGGAGTTAATATTATTTTTGTTTCAATGCCCCTGGCAACTGTAGCTGGGTCTCCTGTTTCCCAAACACTCAGGTGACTCCCCTGTGTGGGTTCCGGGGCCCCATTGTGGGGAAAACAAGAATAGACCCACTGCCTCCCCAAAAGCATGTTGTAAGAGTCAACTAATTGGGGAGCTTCCTTTGAAGACGGAGTGCGTCTGCCGGAGAGGCAAGGAACCAACAGTCTGTATTCAAGAGAATAAGATCTGTAAAACTGATGCACACGCAACACTCAGGTTCTGGAGCAGGACTGCAGTTCAGTAGTAGACGAGCAACCAGAACCTTCCGCCAGAGTTTACAGCTGGTGAACGCGAAGAAGAAGAAGAAGACTCAGGTGACTGTCTGCTGTTAGTGTACTGTCTTGTTTTCTTGCATAATGTCTGCCTTAATTGTTTTACAATGATCAGACTCTGTGATGTCTGCCATAATTGTTTAACAATGATCAGACTCTGTGATGTCTGCCATAATTGTTTTACAATGATCGGACTCTGTGATGTCTGCCATAATTGTTTAACAATGATCGGACTCTGTGATGTCTGCCATAATTGTTTAACAATGATCGGACTCTGTGATGTCTGCCATAATTGTTTTACAATGATCAGACTCTGTGATGTCTGCCATAATTGTTTTACAATGATCAGACTCTGTGATGTCTGCCTCAACTGTTTTACAATGATCAGACTCTGATGTCTGCCATAATTGTTTTACAATGATCGGACTATGTGATGTCTGCCATAATTGTTTTACAATGATCAGACTCTGATGTCTGCCATAATTGTTTTACAATGATCAGACTCTGTGATGTCTGCCATAATTGTTTTACAATGATCGGACTCTGTGATGTCTGCCATAATTGTTTAACAATGATCGGACTCTGTGATGTCTGCCATAATTGTTTTACAATGATCAGACTCTGTGATGTCTGCCATAATTGTTTTACAATGATCAGACTCTGTGATGTCTGCCTCAATTGTTTTACAATGATCAGACTCTGATGTCTGCCTTAATTGTTTTACAATGATCAGACTCTGTGATGTCTGCCTCAATTGTTTTACAATGATCAGACTCTGATGTCTGCCTTAATTGTTTTACAATGATCAGATTCTGTGATGTCTGCCTTAATTGTTTTACAATGATCAGACTCTGTGATGTCTGCCTCAATTGTTTTACAATGTCCGCCCTAATTGTTTAAACATTATACTGTTATTTGTAAAATAATGTTAACAGTGTTTATAACTGTCTCAACCTCTATTCTGTCTGTCTAATCATATATCCATCCCTCATCTATCTGTCTATCTATCTTATCTGAAACCCCTGGTAGGGAGAACAAAAAGGAAACACTGACGATCGGGTGGCCCATTGGTTCGCCAGTAGATGACTTTATCGCCGGTCGGGACAGTATTTGTGTCTGTCTCCTTTGTTTGCATCAACACTGCAGGAGTCCTTTACAGGGATCTTGGTGGTGTTCAATGCTAAGCCTTTAAATGGTGCACATAACCTAGTCACAATTATAACCTAAAGTTCCCCCTTTAGACTTGAACGTGACAATTTTTTTCTTTCAGAAAAGCAACAAACACATACACTTCTGGAGTACACATATCTGTAGCCTCCCTGGTGCCACAGTGTTCGTGCACTGAGCAGAAATTCTCCTTGTGTGATCTAGGGGGAGGATAACAAAATCTAACATCCTTAACATCAAACAACCTTTCCCTCCACATGCAGACACACAATTAGGAGTGACCAGGGGATCTGGCTGTCTCTCGAAACTCACAGAAAAGGCAAGAAGAACATTTAATTAAATTGCTACTTGCACCATCAGAAACTCTGCACTGGCTACTAAAGATGTGGACACAGCGCTTATGGGAAAATCTGGAGAGATTTAATGTGAGTTTTAACTCTCAACACATCAACACACACACACACAAAGACAAGACTTACATCCAGTATCTTTGAGCTGTTGCACAGCATTGGACATGATCCTGATGCAGCCAAGGAAACCAGCTCCCTGCTTCTTGTGAATCTTCTTGTGGTTCCACACACTGATGATGATGGAATCTTTCTGTCCCATGTACCTGCAAGAAATTATAATGCTGCAGGTACTGATCACTATCATTAAAGTCATAGATTTCGACTGAAGAGAGAAGTAAATTTATCTAAGGAAGCTTGAGTATAACAGAAATAGATTTTGAAGGCCATCTGTTCTTTTCCCTTCTGGGCTTCTACCTCCTTCTTCTTCATCTTCTTCTGTTTGCCTTGAAAAGTGTGGTTGGTAAGTTGTGTTGCGGTTATCAGCTCAACACATCCGATCCTCTGCATATCCTTAATCAGCAGCCTTTTATGGGTAGCAATTAAGGGATAGTGGGTCGATTCATTTTACTGGGAACCCACTTGGAGAGGGCTGCTACCTCAAGGTCTGACTAACCCTGAGATGATAAGAATCCCATCCTCAGTCAGAACAACAATTCGAATCCCAGATAGCTTGTTCAACCTCCTAAAAAATTATAACAGTGGCACCTGTACCAGATTCACCAAGTGGTGTACCCTGCAATCATGTGCGGGTAAGAATTATTTTTCAGAGGTATTCTGAGGGCCCCACTGTGGGGGGCGGGTGTGACCCATTGCCCCCTAAAAAGTGTGTCATAAAAAGGGGCCTTTAATTAAACTGGAAATTGTTGGGCCAAAATTTGCAGATATCACATAGGTAAGTGCACTGCACTTACCGTACAGAGGAGCACGCCAATGGACATGACTCTGTATCTCTGTCTAGACTGATGGACATAGGGGCGCAGCCTGGAGCTTCAAGAAATGAACATTTCACTAAGGGGATAAGATATTTCATTAACCAACACAGAACAAGCGTCATCAGCCGTTTTACACTTGTGAAGCTTTTGATGGGAAGATCGGAGCACCTATGGATTTGTCCAGAGTGCTGTGATGATAATCCTTTCTAATCACTAATCACTAAAGTGCATGAGGCAGGAGATCTGATGAGAGACAGAGTTTCTTTCAGGCGAGCTGTGATGAGAGCGACGTTTTGCTACAAGGTAATCATGATATGTACAAGATTTTCAGAATTCTCTGTGAAGACTTTAAAACAAACAAAAATTTAGTTGTCGTTGCATATCCTTCACAGGACGTTGCAGAACCAACCCCAGCTTTTTTTGGGCTGTTGTGGTTTTTTTAAGGAAAATTTACGTCCAGTAGTTTGAAGACCAAAAACACTGCAATAAATTTTTAAAAAACGATGATGTGCTGCAGGATTTTAAAAAGTCATCTGCATATCCTTTAAAGAATTTTGCATGCTATATCCCAAGCATTTACTGGCTGTTTGTGGCTTTTCATGGCAATGTCACATTCAGTAGTTTGCCACTGCTTTTTTAAAGGTCTGCGCTCACACCGCTGTTGAAATCAATGCAGAGCAGTCTGCAGATTGATTGAACCTGACATGTTATAAATGATGAAACTACCTTTACAACTCCTAAGCCAAAGAGGTCAATCAGGCGGCAAGGGTACACTGAAAATGTTTTTTTCAAGCCAGATGTCAATTTGTAAAGCCCTCAAAACAAAATTTGGAACTGGTCCAACAATGCCAACATTTTAATTGAAAAATAATATCTACCTATGACGTACGTTCTTGCTAACTCAGCTCAATCAAGACTTATCATGTTTGCTGTAGGCTTACAGTGTTTGAGTGTACAGATTACAAGTGAGAATCCTGTTAGATTATCTGGGATTAAAACTGTCCTCCAGCACTGTAAATATCTTTATATAACAGTATGTTATTTTTGTAGACATATTGTGCTAATTGCCAATTTTCTTAATCAGTGGTGTCGTTTCCTTCTGTTTTCAAATAATAAAAATACCTAATGCAATCAATATTTCTTTATTAATCATCATCTGTGTGTCAGTACATACTACCCATGAAGGCACAAGGTACATATGTATGGATGGATGGACGGATGGCTGATGGATACACACATACATGCAGGACAGAGATATAATAATAACCTGCACAAAACTGACAGGTGAACAAAAGGACAAGAATGACAGAGATGCTCATAACCTCGATAAGAACAAGCTGGAAGAGACTACAAATACACACAAAAACTTGGACAAAACTGACAGAAATGAACAACCTTTTCGAGAATGACATAAGTATAAACAACCTTGATGAGAATGACATAAGCGCAGACAACATGGATGAGAATGACATAGATGCAGACAATCTGCACAAGAATGACATAGACACAGACAACCTGGATGAGAATGACATAGATGCAGACAATCTGGACAAGAATGACATAGACACAGACAACCTGAATGAGAATGACATAGATGCAGACAATCTGGACAAGAATGACATAGACACAGACAACCTTGACAAGAATGACACAGATGCAGACAACCTGGACAAGAATGACACAGACACAGACAACCTGGACAAGAATGACATAGACACAGACAACCTGGACAAGAATGACACAGATGCAAACAACCTGGACGAGTATAACATAGACACAGACAACCTGGACAAGAATGACATAGACACAGACAACCTGGACGAGAATGACATAGACACAGACAACCTGGACAAGAATGACATAGACACAGACAACCTGGACGAGAATGACATAGACACAGACAACCTGGACAAGAATGACACAGACACAGACAACCTGGACGAGAATGACAGACACAGACAACCTGGACAAGAATGACATAGACACAGACAACCTGGACGAGAATGACATAGACACAGACAACCTGGACAAGAATGACATAGACACAGACAGCCTGGACAAGAATGACATAGACACAGACAACCTGGACGAGAATGACATAGACACAGACAACCTGGACAAGAATGACATAGACACAGACAACCTGGACGAGAATGACATAGACACAGACAACCTGGACAAGAATGACATAGACACAGACAACCTGGACGAGAATGACATAGACACAGACAACCTGGACAAGAATGACATAGACACAGACAACCTGGACGAGAATGACATAGACACAGACAACCTGGACAAGAATGACACAGATGCAGACAACATGGACTAGAAAGACACAGACAACCTGGATGAGAATGACATAGATGCAGACAACCTGGATGAGACAGCAAGACACAGACAACCTAGATGAGAATGTTAGAGAAACCTAGCGAGAACGAGACAGTCTGGATAAGAACAGACCTAGAAGAAAATGACAGAGACAAACAACGTGAGCGAGAATAACCTGGAGGAGATAGAAAAGACACAACCTGGCGGAGACAGAGATGAGAACAACCAGGAGAAGACTGACAGATAGATACAAACAACATAGAGGAGATTGACAAAGATATATAAACAACCTGGAGAAGACAAAAGGACATAAACAACCTGAATGTGACAGAGAGATATAAACAACCTGAATGAGACAGAGAGATATAAACAACATGAATGAGACAGAGAGATATAAACAACCTGAATGAGACAGAGAGATATAAACAACATGAATGAGACAGAGAGCTATAAACAACCTGAATAAGACAGAGAGATATAAACAACCTGGATGAGACAGAGAGATATAAACAACCTGAATGAGACAGCGAGATATAAACAACCTGAATGAGACAGAGAGATATGAAAAGAGAGATATAAACAACCTGAATGAGACAGAGAGATATAAACAACATGAATGAGACAGAGAGCTATAAACAACCTGAATAAGACAGAGAGATATAAACAACCTGGATGAGACAGAGAGATATAAACAACCTGAATGAGACAGCGAGATATAAACAACCTGAATGAGACAGAGAGATAAAACAACCTGAATGGGACAGAGAGATATAAACAACCTGGATGAGACAGAGAGATAAAACAACCTGAATGAGACAGAGAGATATAAACAACCTGGATGAGACAGAGAGATATAAACAACCTGAATGAGACAGAGAGCTATAAACAACCTGAATGAGACAGAGATAAAACAACCTGAATGAGACAGAGAGATAAAACAACCTGAATGAGACAGAGAGATAAAACAACCTGAATGAGACAGAGAGATAAAACAACCTGAATTAGACAGAGAGATATAAACAACCTCAATGAGACAGAGAGATAAAACAACCTGAATGAGACAGAGAGATAAAACAACCTGAATGAGACAGAGAGATAAAACAACCTGAATGAGACAGCGAGATATAAACAACCTGAATAAGACAGAGAGATATAAACAACCTCAATGAGACAGAGAGATATAAACAACCTAAATGAGACAGAGAGATATGAACAACCTGAATGAGACACAGAGATATGAACAACCTGGAGGAGTTTGACACAGAGATACAAACAACATGGAGGAGATTGACAGAGAGATTTAAACAACCTGGAGGAGACAAAAGGACATAAACAACCTGAATGAAACAGAGAGATATGAACCTGAATAAGACAGAGAGAAATAAACATCCTGAATGAGACAGAGAGATTTGAACAACTTGGAGGAGTCTGGCAGAGACACAAACAACATGGACCAGAAACCCAGGAGGAAACAGAAAGACACAAAACAACCTGAAGGAGTCTGATAGAGAAAAAAACGGGCCAAACTTACAAGTCATAGTACTGATTCCATTTGGGGTCGAGGGTGTTCTTGCAGACATCTGTAGAGTGACACTGGCCGGACCCATCAACAGCAATCTTTGCAAAGGGATCGGGCAAACCTGTGATATGAATCATCAGTTAAGATCCTGGGGTAAGTCATCCCTTTCTGTCCCAAACAACGCACTATGCGTGGCTAGATATTATTCTCATACACCAGTCAACATGTGATGTCTGTTTATGCATATGATGTTTAGTGAGAGACTATGAAAACATATTTCTTTCTCCCAGTGTGGGTTTTGGGGCCCTACTGTGCGGAAAACAAGAACAAACCTATTGCCTCCCCAACAAGCATGTTGTCGAGAGTCAACTAATTAGGGGTTCCTTCAAAGTCAGAGTGCATCTGCCTGAAAAGCAAGGAACTAACAGTTCATCATACAAATCAGCCATTTCTGTCAAATGGATGTACACATAAAATTCAAGTTCCGGAATAAGTTTAAAGTCCAGAAATGGACAAACAACCAGAACTTTCTGATAGAGTTTAAAGCTAGAGAATGTGAAGAAGAAGAAGATCATGGACTAAGAAGACAGAAAATGCTGATATTCTAAAAGATCCCTCACCCCTTCATCTCCTCATTGTTCACTGGCTGTAAACTCTGGTAAAAACTAATTACTGCCTTTTACAATGGGGACTACATGATCTGAACTTTTAAGAAAACTAGCTTTAAACATCACGGTGTTGAGCTGAGTGTTTAGGTGATTCAAGAACCGACATCACAGCATTTAGGGTATTCTCATAAGCGCTCCGTCCCCATCTTCAGCAGCCAGTGCCGAGTTCCAATACTAATCAGTAGCATTCTGATCAAACATCTGTCTTGCCTTTCCTCTGAGCCTCAAGCGTCGGCTAGAACCCTTTGTCAATCCCCGCTGCATCAATCTCATCAGACTGTAGTGATCCATCTGCTCCCCCGAACTGTACACGCCCTCCCACAAGGCACTAACCATGTCTGCCTTATCATCCATCAGTATTTCACCAATTTGTTCAAAGCCAGCCATTCTGTCTGCCTGTTCAGTTCCCAATACACCGGCATACCCGGAGAAAAAATCTAGACAATACTCCTCACCCATGTCCTGCGCAGTGAAGCATGCCACTCTGCATAAAGCATGCCTGTCCTGACTTTCCTCAGTATGCTTTCTGAGTCAGTTACAATCACAATGTGCGTGTGTGTGTGTTTGCTAACCAGCAAAATCTGCATTGACTACCTCCACCTCCATTCTTAAACTGGATATTGTGGTATCTTTTTCTTCACCAGCTGTGAATTCCGGCGGGAGGTCACAGTAAATCATCCATTTCGACTTTTGGCTTTTACCTGGACCTGAGTTTTGTGTGTATATCTGTTTTAATGGCTTTTGCAGTTCCCTGCCTCACGGGCAGATGTACTATGACTTTGAGGGAAGACATCTAGCCTATCTCTAGGATAACTGTGGCCATAGTTTTGTGTGGGTCAAGATGCTGCCTCAGTCGTGTGGTTTCCTCTGTCCCTTTATCTGCAGGTGTTGTCCCCGGTGTACCCCCGTTGGGGCAGCCCTATGTAGAATGGTTAGCCCTCAAGGGAAGGCAGGGGCAGATCATGGGCATTTCCTGCCATCCACGGGGGCTTCTATAAAGGCAGAGCCGACACATGACGCTGTGGTTCTGGGCTCACCCAAGATTGCTCGTGTGCTGTAAGATCTTTCTTTCTCGAACATGAGGGCCTAGCCAGCCAATGGACAGTTACTGTCATGGTGTACCTCAGCGTGGTGACAACAAGGCCGAGGGTTGACAGAGGTAGAATCTTGCTGCGAGAAACCACCCACAGGAGATGTTACTCGTCTAAGCTGCGGGTAAATCTCTTGGTCAAGGGTTAAGTCTCAGCAGCACAGTTTTCCATTCACTCCACAGACTTTTAACCGAGAGTTGTCATTTATTGGTTCATTTGGCAAGCAGACTTTACTCATGCCCCAAATGAGTTTTGATCAACTTTTTCACCCATGCGTTTGTGGGCGGGCTGATGAGAGCTACAAGGACACTACACCTCTGGGGCCGCCAACTTCGAGATCCCCTGACAGCTCTGATAATGCTCATTAGAGACATTATCCGTGGCACACGACGAGGATGTGCAGCAGTAGTCTTGCATGAGTTTCCCATTAAAGGGCTGGCACCCAAGTGAGGTACAGAGTATTTCCTTATACACATCACATCGGACTTAACTTTCCCTCTCGCCTGTGACAGAGATCACCGCGCCACTTGTTGTATCACATGCTAGGCTTTCCTGTACCAAACGTCAACAGACATCACTGTGTCATGAAAACTAAAATATTATATTATTTTATCTTCCTCTTTCTCTATTTCCTCCTCTTCATCTTCTTACCTTTTGTACTTCATTTTGAGGTAACTGTCTTTATCTCTTCGTCTTTGCTGTCCCTGGCTGCAAATTCTGACAGAAAGTTCTATTTGTTCTGGACTTAAGTCTTGTTCTTGAAATGAGTATTGGATGAACATTCGTTTTTCAAATCTCTCTTATTTGTGTGCACTCTTGGTTCCTTGCCTCTCACCCAGACTAACTCTTACTTCAAAGTAAACATTCCTAATTAGTCAACTTTTACGACATATTGGAGTTGAGGAGGGGGGGTCTATTCATTTTTTCTATACAAAGTGGAAACTAAAAACCAAATATGAGGAAACTATCAACCAAACATGGGGAAAGTACCAACTAACCATGGGGAAACTACCAACCAAACACAGGGAAACTATCAACTAACCATGGGGAAACTACCAACCAAACATGATGAAACTACCAACCAAACATTTGAAAACTACCAATCGAAATATGTTAGTTGCATATCCTTTACAGGATGTTGCAGAACCAACCCCAACAGCCCCTGGCTGCTGTGTGGTTTTTCTAGGCAAATTTACGTCCAGTAGTTTGCCACTGCTTTCTGAATGTTCGGCTTTCTTGATACCACTGTCGAAACCAACGCAAGGCGCATGGCCCACAGCTGGGATCGAACCCGGCATCCCAAAGGGTTCGCATCGATTTAGCCACAGAGCCGACCAATCGAAATATAGGATAACTACAATACAAACAATAGGTACTTACGGAAGAATTCCTTCTTGCATAAATTCTTTGCACACAGCACTGAGGACAGACAGAAAAGAGTCAATTTTCTCAGGCATTTGTTTCCTGCCTTGAGTGGTTCTCCAACTGTCACTCGCATATGATAAAAATTAAATACCATTAGAAAGGAAAATACATACTAGATATTGCAACTATTTAATTCTTCTTCTTCATGTTCACCAGCTGTAAACTCTGATGGAAAATTCTGGTTCTTTGTCCACATCCAGACTCTTGTCTTGTTCCAGAACTTAATATTTTGCGTGCACATCCATTTTACAGATCTGCTTAACTTGTATACAGACTGTTGGTTCCTCGCCTCTCAGGCAGACACACTTCAAGTTCAAGAGAAACGCCACTAATTAGTCGGCATTAACAAAATGGCTAATGCCCAGGAGGAAGAGTGTTGCTCTGACTCCCTCCCCCCCAACAATGGCATCCCAAAAAGGGAGTGGATAATTCAGTTCTATATTTTGTTTGGGCTTTTAAAAGCTGCATGATTATAGTTAACATGTATACACTAATAAGCAACCGCCCGTGTCTTAACCAACCACGAGAAGTAAAGTATAGTAATGTTGTAAGATTAACTCTGTGACTGGATCATAAGCAGACACCTTTTTTAATAACTGTATTCATCAGCGACTTCTTCTTCCTCCTTCTCATATATCACCAGACTCCACTTCTCTACATGACTGGCCTTCTCTTTTCAGTTGCAGACTTCATTCCAAGTGTTGGCAGGTCTGCACGTATATCATCTCTCCATCGTCTTCTTGGTCTGCTTCCTATTCTAGTCCTATTCAACATTTCCAAACACGTAGTATGCAACTAATCACAGAATTCATTCCATCTCTCTCAGGGGCTAGATTTCGTGGCCCTTCCTACAGGCTGTTCCAGGTTCTAGGGGTGTTACGAGATGACCTTCCTATTCGTAGGCGAGCATCTAGCCGCTACACCAGGGCGCTTCCCTTGTGAGGTCTCAAGTTTATTTGCCTAAATCTACTAGTACTGGTTTGATGACTTTCTTAAAGATCTCAACGTCTGTATCTAACGAACCAGTAGCATCATCATCAAAAACAACAACAGTGTCTTGCAAGACAACCTCTTAACAAAAATGCTATGTTTTCTACCAGTTTCAAGACAAATGAAAGCGGTCATCTAACCAGGGCTGCCAATGGGATTTTTTTGAAAAACCCAGCTTAGCTGAACAAAACCCAAGCAATACATAGACAAAGAACAAAAACAAAACAAAAACCAGATTGTTAAAATGTACAAATTTTATATTTACGAAACGAAACATTTACCACTTTTATATAAGGATATATTTTTAAAAAAAGATGTCCCCCCAACGTCAAATAAAAACCCTGATCGGGGGTGGGGGGGGGGGAGAGGGAACCCAACATTGGTAGCCCTGCATCTAACTCCAGCCAGAAACACTTAGCAAAGGGCTCGACAATACACTCACGGCAATTGCAGCGGTTCTCAACTTTGTTCTGTCCAGGGTCCCCTTATATGTCTCACTAAACTAAACTCGTCTTTGTTTCTGGCACAGCGGTAAATAACGCCCCTTACAGTAATATAAAGGAAGGAATGAGAAGAAGAAGAAGAAAAAGAAGAAGACGAAGAAGAAGAAGCACTACAACAACTACTAGTTGTAGCAGCAGCAGCAATAGTAGTAGTTGTTGCTGTTCTACCCAATCTGTCTCTGGACCTTACCCCTAACTATAGGGAACTTAACCCTACAAATCCTGACCTTAAAAATAAATATCTGACCTTGACCCCACTATCCTGACCTTTAAAATAAATATCCGATCTTGACCCTAAATAATAAATATCCGACCTTGACCCTAAAAATCCTGACCTTAAAAATAAATATCCTGACCTAAAAAATTAATATCCGACCTTGACCCAAAATATCCGGAATTTAAAAAAATATATATCCGACCTTGACCCTAATTATTCGGAATAAACAAAAATAAATATCCGACCTTGACCCCAAATATCCGGAATTTAAAAACAATTAATATCCGACCTTGACCCTAAATATCATGACCTTAAAAATAAATATCTGACCTTGACCCCAATATCCTGACCTTAAAAATAAATATCTGATCTTGACCCTAAATAATAAATATCCGACCTTGAACCTAAAAATCCTGACCTTGAAAATAAATATCCTGACCTTAAAAATAAATATCCGACCTTGACCCTAATATACTGACCTTAAAAATAAATATCCGAACTTGACCCTAAATATCATGATCTTAAAAATACACATCCGATCTTGACCCTAAATATCCTAAACTTAAAAATAAATAGCCGATCTTGACCCTAAATATCCGGATCGTAGTCTTAAATATCGGGACCTTAACCCTAAATATCCGGGTCTTAATCTTAAATATCGGGACCTTAGCACTATATATCCGGAAATTAATTTTAAATATCGGGACCTTAATACTATATATTAAACTATGCGGGTTTTTATTTTATTTTTTAAGTATCCAGAAACTACGAGTTGTAACCCTTCGCTCGGTACTATGGATATCGCAGCCCTTCGGCATTGATTCCGTAAATCTGGAAGAAATGTGGCTCTTCTGCCAACACCCGGGCGTGAACCCGGAGTTCGTCACCCGGTCGCCGCGCAGAGAGTTTAACCAACTGCGCTAGCGAGCCGGGTTTTGATTTTTAAACTGCATCACTGTTAGCTCTAGACTATCCAGACTCTCACAGATAACAATCCACAGAGGAGCCAGCGAGCGGCGAGACCGGATGCCGCGGCGAAGCGACGCAAAGCTCGCAGAGTTTGCCTGCTATAATGCACTTGAAATGAACACGATGCGACCTCGTAATTAGAGCACTATGAACGTCAAAACTCGTTATCGGGAACCCGTGTGTCTCAGATAGAGGAAATCCTCTCGGCTCATGGCGCCATCTGAAACCCCATTTTCCCACAAACCACTAGACCAGAGCTTTCAAAAATGTCGCGTGAATGTAATTTATGCACGTGTCCGTATTTCGGTACTTCAATTGTTTTTTACCCCAAACAAAGGGAATCCGGGAGTTCATGGAGAGTCAATATTCTAGGGGTGTTATGGTTTAGGTTAGGATTATGGTTAGTTTTAAAAATATTTCATTTATAATTAAACTTGAAAAAAAAAATTCTTGGTATAACATTATTAAAATACAAGTACAAAAAAAAACTGAATTTCTAAACAGCCCCCATCCCCTTCAGGTTTCTTCTTCTTCGTGTTCACCAGCTGTACACTCTGACGGAAAGTTCTGGTTGTTTGTCCACTTCTGAACTGCAGTCCTGCTCTAGAACCTGAGTGTTGCGTGTGCATCAGTTTTACAGATCTGATTCCCTTGAGTGCAGACTGCTGGTTCCTTGCCTCTCAGGCAGACGCACTCCGACTTCAATGGAAGCTCCCCAATTAGTCGACTCTTACGACATGCTTTTGGGGAGGCAGTGGGCTTATTCTTGTTTTCCCCACAATGGGACCCCGGAAGCCACACGAGGCCTTTCAGGTTTGAAACCACTAGTCTACACTGTGTGTAACCAACATGAAAAGTGTGTAAAGCTCTGTACTAGACAGTGAGTCGTGCTGTGCGGTCGGCGACCCTCGCCGTTTTCCCAGATGCATATTCTAACTGGAACAAAGCCGGTCTGTTGCCGGGGGGGGGGGGGGATGCACGCACTAAATGGCGGAGAGGAACTGTTTAAACTCATGTATTTGGGCCGCTCCAACATTTCCCGAAAAACGAACCCTCTTCTCTCTTTCTCTTCTCCAGTGTTGCCACTTTGGATGTTTCACATCCAGATTTAGATGTTTTTCTTGGCATTTAGATGGGTTTTTGACGTTTAGATGGTAGATGTTTTTCTAGAAGTTTTTCATTTGGAGTGAATTTATCAAATCTAACCTAAGAAAAGGATGACATTTGACCTCTTAAATGCTATCTTGACAATAACATTCGACCTGATAAGAGTAGGAAAAGGCTGTTCAACTTATCAGATCCCTGATTGGGTATTAAAAGAAATTGGAACAGCTAAAGCATACCAGAGTCATTTTAGATCTGAAGCTTCAACTTCATCATCCAAGCTAAGTTTATCCTGTGGATCTTGTGAGGCAGAGTTCAGTAAAGATGAGGACATGATTCTATAGGGTAAGTCATATCAATTGCTATGTAATTTGTGACTCTTTCCATTTGGATGTTTTTTCTAGATGTTTTCCACACAAATTTAGATGTTTTTACAGATATTTTTTGACTCCGTTTTGGATGTTTTTTGTCAAAGTAAAGTGGCAACACTGCTCTCCTCTTTATAGTGTTCCATCGGCTGTAAACTCCGGCAGAAAATTATAGTTGTCCGTCAACTTCTGGACTTTGGTGTTGTTGCACTGCCTGAGGTTTACGCGCATCTTCGTTTTACATATCTTGTTTCTTAGTATGCAGACCTGTTGGTTACCCGCCTCTCAAGCGTATACACCCAGACTTTCAAGGAAATGCCCTAAATTAGTTGACATTTACAACAGGCTTGCTGGGGGAGGGGGTAGGGGGGTGGAGCAAGTCTATTCTTTAAGTCTATTCCAGTGTTTCCCAAACTTTTCTTAGTTGCAGCGCCTTTTTCAATTAAAATGTTTCTGCGGCGCCCTGACCTAGTAAAATTGTGTGTAATTGTGTGAAATAGTATGTAAGAAGCAAAATTTAAAAAAAAAAAACACTTATGTATCTTCGAATATTTCACGGCACCCCTGTGAAGAGGTCGCGGCTTCCCGGGCGCACAGTTTGAGAATCACTGCTCTATTCTATTCCAGGGTAGCTGGACCAAAAGCTTTAACAGGGTAGCTGTAGTAATGCACGTGATGAGATACAGTGAAACATGCCAAACAATAAATTGTGCAATATACTGTTTGTGTCCGCATTATTTCAATCATGGTAAATATTGTACAAATAAGTGTTTAAAAAACAAACAAAACACTGTTTTGAACTTATATTCCTTGTAAGTATGTCAGAGAAGGTGATCAATTAGGGGTATTTCATTCACATTTATCCTAAAGTGAATGGACACTTTTTGAAAACAGAGGACATCATATACAACGTTACTAAATCCAGTATGAGAATGGAGGTGGAGGTGGTAATGGCAGCTTTCTGTTGACTTCAGAACAACACAGTCTAACATGTGGTAAATGTAACAGACTCAGAGAGCATGCTTCAGCAATGTGAAAGTGTCGTCCTGCACACACAGAGTGGCGTGTATTACTCAGATCAGGAAGACATCATAGATTTTCTGTCCAAGGTATTCAGGTGATCGAGGTAATGAGCAGGTTAAAAGATTAGCTGCTGCCGCTCCTCTAGGTGGGGAGCTCCTATATGGTAAAGCGGATGTAGTGAAGGCTCTCTGGAATCAAATGGACAGTGAAGTGGAACAGACAGATAATCAATACAATGAAAGCCCATGACACTGGCAGAGAGCTGTCTGGCTCATACTTATCTCATATGAGTGTTTTTTAAGTCTGCAATGTTCGGTGTGTGGGCGACAAATTTTGACCTGATGAGTTTTTTTCAAATGGAATTATTTTCAAATACCAAATCACTGATGGACTGTGTTCAAAACTGGACGGTTCCCGGGGTTCACCCATTAACACTTTGGGGTAAATTGAGGAACGTTGCTGTAGCTATGGAGCTTCGTGCGGATGGCCACACAGGCGGACAGTTTTTTTTTATCAGCTGTCTGTACAGGTGGCAGAGTACTTATGGTTTATAACCGTTGGCAATGAGGCTGGTTCACATCTCCCGACTTGACCTTTATCTTTAGATCAATGAATGTTTGGTGCTTTATTAATATCTTACCCCAGATGACGTCACAGGAGAGTCCAACATTTTAGAGGGTGGTAAGACTGGGTTTCCCGGCTTTCTGATGCTTTAACGACCCCAAAACATCTAGAACTGACCCTAACCCACCTACGTCCCACGAGTGAGTGCAGCCTAGTCCCCACGACTGCATGCAGCCTAGGTCCTATGACTGCATGCAGCCTATCTACCACCCCCTGAAATTGTAAACTGTCCCGTGACCTGTGGATTTTCCCTGTTTGTGGTAAGAAATTAATAAAGCACTGAATGTTTTCTTGTCTTGCAATACCCAGGGCTGAACAGTGACATGACAGTCCAAGACAGACAGAGCGTACGTTTTGCTGTAAGCTCAGTAATCAACAACATGTAGGCTGACATTCTTTTCCCATGTTTAGAGACAAGCCACATCAGAACTTTTATTTATTAGAAAATCTGCTATTCTCAGTCATACTGCTCACAGTATCTCATTATGAAAACATAGTTTACCACAGTAAAATTCCAGTTACTTAAATGCTACAAGAATGGTGCTTGATACTTTTCCACTCTAAATGTTTAAAGACAAGCCAAATAACTGTTAATGATATGTAATATACCAATGGACTGAATAATGCAGAACAAAAAACACACGAATTCCCAAAATCAACTAATCAACTTTCCAGTTGACAGCCATTTTTTTCACTCAATGATTCATCGTCCATTCATCCCTACTCTGTGCAGACAATTACAGCTCTAACGTATGCTTACCTGTAAGTCGAATCTTCATATGACCATTTCTCCTAGATCCTTCACTAGCCATCATGAAACGAAAAATGAAAACAGTAACATGGTAGAGAGATCGTGGCTCAGAAACTGGTCGTCTCCCGTCTGCTTTCAAACACTGCAGAAGTCAGAGATACAACAAGGTGACGTCACTTCCTCTGGCGTCATCAATAAAAATAAGGGAATCCTGTCGGGAAAACACCTTGCTTTTTTTAGAACAGACGAAACGGTAGGCACGGTAATTCATACTAATTCTTCTTCTGCTAGTTAGTTAGTTAGTTGGGTTATCCTCATTGCACTCCGGACATGTCCATAGGTGCTCAGATCCTCCCCTCAGTATGAACCCCAACGTCCGATGGCTAATAGTACCAGTTCTATGTTGATTAACAAGTCTTCTGGCGTAGCTGGTGTGCGTCTCGTTTTTTGCTGTGCCGATCTTAATTCCCAAGTCTGCCATTCTGGCGAGTGATGTGGATTCACTGCCACCAAAGTCCTCTATTCTTCCCATTTCTCTGAGGGCATTGATAATATCAGCATGATCCATAGGCTGACCGTCGGTAGTGATAGCGGATCCAGCCAACCTGTCAGCTCTTTCATTTCCATCGACGCCTGCGTGTCCCGGAACAAAAATAAAGGTGACTCCACGAACAGTGGACTTCTGTAATGATTCAAGCCATTGTCTTCGCACTGAACCTGCCTGAACCCTCCGGATCATACTCATTGAATCACTGAGTATACACACGCGGGTGTATTTTTGTGTTTCAAGCCAGGCAAACGCTTGTGTCACTGCCATCACCTCCATCGTCATGCTGCTGGTTGTCATGGAGAAGGCGCCGTTGGCTTCTTTGACTGTTCTGCCCGCTGAGCGTGCTGTAAATGCCCATGCGCTTCTTCTTTGGCGTATAACGGATCCGTCTGTATAGATTATTGCATCTGCTTCGACTGAATTTTCACCGATGAGAGCGTTGACCTCTGCATTAACAGCAACAGGATTCTCTTCTCTACATCGCCTGTTGAGTGTGACAATACAGGAAAATGTACAAATAAACGCCTGAGGCACAGGTATCCATTCTGCACCAGGTATGATGTCGGTTAGGCTGCATATTTGCCTAATGACATCTTCTGCCCGACCTAGCCACGATTCTTCTTCTGCGTTCGACATCAGTCATGAGTCCCGTCTGGGTCAAAAATAGGATTGTGCGTTTAAGGTCACCACCGGTGCCCCATAGCTTCTCTCGCAATGTGGATCCCCTGAGCCAGATCCACAGTCTTTGCTAGGATAGGTAAGGGCAGTACTGCAGTATGTGCTCAGGGGACTGTCTTTCTGCTCCACAACCACAGGCAGCAGATTCTTTTATGCCTATCCTGTACAAGTGTGCTCGAAGACCACAGTGTCCAGTCTGAAGTCTAAAAATTGATGTTTGTTCTTTCCTGTTGAGTTTGTTTATGCTGTCACTCTCTGGTCTGTAATCTCTATTCTGCTTTCTCCACTCCCGCTTGAAAGACTGCTTTAATGCTGTTTTGGTTTCCTTGTAGCTGTGTGGTGGATGAGGTTGTGGAAGATTACTCCCAGCTTTCGCCAACTCATCTGCTCTCTCATTTACTTGAATACCACAGTGGGCTGGTATCCACTGCAAGACCAGTTCTGCTTCCTTGGAGAGTAAGCCAATGTTGGTCCTTAGATCTGCAATTAGTTGTCTTGTTTTTTTGCTTGATAGTGCTTGGAGAACAGACAATAAGTCACTAAGTATAACAATTTTGTGCCCTCTGTGTTCTTGAGTGATGAGATGTTGGACTGCAGAAAGGAGGGCAGTTGCCTCAGCTCTGAAGTTAGTGCAGATGTCACCTGCTGGTAGAGAGAGTTTCTGCTCTACTGCTAGGGGGTTTAATGTATATTCCACAACTCCCCTTTCTGACTGCATCAATAGCAGAGCCGTCGGTGAAAACCTGAGTCCAAGTGGTGTTTGGATACTTCTCATCAAGCATAGCAAGAGCCAGGGTTCTCTGTTGTGTCTCCGTCTGGACATCTTTTGAAGTGATCCCTTGGTACCTTTAGGACTAAATTTGCCTTCTCTGGCTTGCTTGTCCATGGTTCTGGCCTAAGTTTTTTGCATAGAGCTACATCTCTTTCAAGCAGATCTTGGTGCTGTCTGTACAGTTCTCTAGCAATGTGGTTGGGGCTCTGACGCTTCAGTCTGTTTTGTGTTCTCTCTTGAAATTTAAAATGCAGTGGGTGACTTTGAAGTCTTTTTAATTTCTCATACTGTAAAAGAGTTTTGTATTGTCTTCTGAGTTCGAGTGGTTCAGTATCTGCTATCCTCTCTATCTCTCTGATGGGGGTGGATTTCATGGCTCCAAGAACAATCCTTAATCCCATATTCTGAACCTTGTCCAGTTTTCCCATTGTTGTACGGTACGGTAATGTAAACTGTGACTTACAACAGGGCTATTCAACTAAGTTTACTCAGGGTTCAGTAGTTTAAAACTGAGGAAAGTCACAGGCTAGATGACCAAGCCCGAGCATAGAAAGATCATTAATACAATACAATTGGCAATGACCCCTGTGCCACTTGCTCGGCCGCCAGCTGAATTGTCCTGTACTACTACATCTGCTAAAATCAAATGCTCTACCTTGTAACGCACAATATATGTAATGTTAAAAGCTGATCTTCTTCTTCTTCTTCTGTTCAAATTCAGAGGTTGTAAACTCAGGCGGAAAGTTCTGGTTGTTTGTCCACCTCCGGATTTAGTCTTATTCTAGAACCTGAGTGTTGCATGCACATCTGTTTTACAGATCTGGCATATCTGCATGCAGATTGTTGGTTCCTTGCCTCTCGGGCAGATGCACTCCTTCATGGGAGGAAGCCCCCAGTTATTTGACTCTTACGGCATGCTTGTTGGGGAGCAGTGGGTCTATTCCTTCCCCCCCCCCAAACCCGCCACAAAATGAAGCCCCGGGACTCATACGAGCAGGACGCCATTAACATCAGTTACCTTGTAGGGCTCTGAAACCCGGAGCAGAACTAACAGAGACGATGCCATGTTACACGTTTTTGAAATGAAGAGTTTATAACGAATCTTTGTACCGATCAAAGATGACATCTAGCTACGGAGAATGAGTGAGAAGCAAAAACGAAATTCGTGATCTATTAAAATCACCACACATCAGCTGATTTATAGGAGCCAATATACTGAAACGCCCGTGTATTACCTGGGTCCTCACGGGAAGCAAAGAATAGTGACACTGCACTCTACCAGGCATGTCGTAAGAGGCGATTAAGGGTGGGGTTGGGCTTGAGGTTGGCTACCTCATCCTGTAAAAACCATAGCTACAAAAACCAACCAACCATGGGTAAATAAAAAAGATAAGCAAGTAAAATCCAGCCAACCAAGGTGAGGGGAGGCTTTTCAAATAGAAGAAGTATGACACGGTGTGGGGCAAGCCGTAAGGAGTCAGGATCGTTGACGTACCTCCTCTCAGCTAGGAAAACCTCCAGAATTGGTACCTGGAATGTTAGAACTCTCTATGATATAGGAAGAACAATGGAAGCAGCAAAGGAAATGAAACATTATAGAATTAGTATTTTACGGTTATGTGAAACTATATGGACTGGGGCGGGGGAAAGTATTCTAAATTCGGGGGAAGTACTATTGTATGGGGCGGAAACATGGAGAACACTAAGGCAATTACTAATAAATTACAGACATTCATTAACTGATGCCTGCGCAGAATAGAGGAAATTAAATGGTATGATAGAATAACTAATGTAGAACTTTGGGAGAGAACTAAACAGGCTCCAGTGGACCAAGAGGTGAGAAAAGACGCTGGCGTTGGATAGGACACACACTGAGAAAACAGGAGAACAGAATGTCTTTGCATTGGAACCCACAGGGGCATATGAATAAAGGAAGGCCAAAAAACACATGGAGAAGAGAGCTGGAGAATGAAGTTGGAAATATGGGGAGGACATGGGGAGAGCTCCATGCAATGGCGAAGAATAGAACGACTTGACGTGAGTTGGTTGAGGGCCTATGCTCCATTGGGGGATAGAAAGGCAAAAGAAGAAGAATTTACTGAAATGGCAGGGTAACTATAGCTTTAGATTTGTATGTTGTCTAGTGTGTCCTTCTATCTTTCTTCTTTTTCAATGAGTGCCAATCAATACACTGTCTGTTTACTTTTATAGTGCTGTTAAAACAGCCCTGTTTAGAAACCGTTCTTCCAAGTTTGAACTGACGCAGTAATAAAAGGGTGGATCCCTCAATTAAAACGGCAAATCCCTCCAATAACAAGGCAGATCCCTCAAATAACGTAGATCCTTCCAATAACAATGCAGATCCCCTAATAACAGGGCAGATCCCCTAATAACAGAGCAGATCCCTCCAATAACAGGGCGCCTCCCTCAATTAACAAGGCAGATCCCTCTAATAACAGGGCAGATCCCTCCAATAAGAGGACAGATACCTCTAATAACAAGGCAGATCTTTTCAATAACAAGGCAGATCCCTCAAATAACACTTAAGATCCCTCCAAAAACAGGTTAGATCCATCCAATAACACGTTAGATCCTTCCAATAACATGACATATCCTTCCAATAACAGAACATATCCTTCAAATAACAGGGCAGATCCCTCCATTAAGAGGGCAGATCCCTCTAAAAACATGGCGTATCTTTCCAATAACAAGGCAGATCCCTCCAATAACAAGACAGACCCCTCCAATAACAAGACAGATCCCTTCAATAACAATGCAGATCTCTTCAATTACAAGACAGATCCCTTCAATAACAAGACAGATCCTAGATAACCCGTTCAACCTCTAAAGAAGCTATAATTAGGGCACCAGTAACCGGCTGCATCAGTACAATATACGGACCAGCATATAATAATATACTCATATTTTTTTTAATGATAGGTGATATTCTGAGCATCACGCCAGTCGTCATTATTTCCCAGGACAATCCCCTTTTACCCATTTCAGGTTCCTTCAACCTGGAAGCCAAATCCCGTTTGGATATGAACCCAAAACCTTCAGATCG